CGCTCTGATTGGCTGGTGGGTGTGGCTTAAGGTGTAGCGAAGGTATGGTCAATTTGCATGTTTGTCTTTTATTAGTGTAGATAACATTGGCAAATATGTTCTCCCATGCAGTGGGCTTTCTTATTGTTTTGTTGGTGGTTTCTTCAACTGCGCAGAAGCTTTTTATTTTGATATAGTCCCATTTATTTATTTTCTCCTTAGTTTCCTTTGCCATAGGAGCTGTATCAGTGAAGATGTTGCTCAGACACAACTTTGCCTAATATCCTTGCAGTGCTTAGAATATTTAACTAGTTTTTTTTTGGCAAGTTTACTTTAGTTTTCCTGTTTTAAAAAGTCATTGTTTATTATACTATTACATGCATTTTTTAAATTTTCAGGATATATTGTCAATGCAAATACAAATGGTATTTATTTCATAACAGTGTGCCCTTAGAAAATGTTACGTTATTATTTATGAGTAGATAGCAAATTACTGAAGTATTTAAGAAAAAACTTCTGGAGGGCAAAACTAAACTTTCAAGAATGATTGTTGTCTCTAAATCATTTCCTTTGTTGACTGGCTTTTTCCTTCCATTCATGTTTTATTATTTATTTTCTCATTCATTGTAAAAGCATATTCACATTTTATCAAGTTCAAACAATAATCATGTAAAATATATCTATAATCTCACTGTGTAAATCACTGTTATCTGTTTACTTACCTGTGTTTTAATCTTTATAATTGTTTGTAGTTGCAAATGAAGATGTGTGCCTTGGAAGAAGAAAAGGTATTAATTACTTTTTTAACAATTTAAAGCATGGTTAAATGTATTTGAGTATCAATTGTTGCCATAATGGAAAGGAGTATTAGTAATACACTAATGGAAACTGTTAATTGCTGAAAATCTTAGACACAGAAAGGACCCAAGGGAATCGTGTTACTTGACCACTGTTATTTTGCAGTTGAGAACATTGAGACCTATCAAGATTTGCTGAAGTTCAGTATCCCATTTTGAAGTGGTAAAGTTGGGACTAGAACCCAGGTCTCTTCAGCCCCCAAATTAATGCTATTTCCACTCTACTGCAATTAAGTGTAATATTTTTTAGTGCTTTTTAATGCAATTACCTTCTTTAAAAAACATTAAAATGATTGTCATCCGGGTGCCAACCAACTGGAAAAGAGGACACAACTCCAAACATTCCTAGAAATTCATCTGGCATTAAACATTTTTCCTAGCTATCTAATAGTTAATACATGTTTTGAGTATGTCAATGAACATATCACTTATAATATTAATAATTTATGGTTTGTTATTTTTAGCTAAAGACCTTCTTTTAAAAATTCTCCCATATCCTTAAATTTATAAGACAAATGTACCTGTATTTTGTTAATTAGAATATATTTATTCTAGCTATATGAATTAAATACTTAATTATACAGTATTCATAAGTTCTCAAGAATGGTGTATTGATAAAATTTGTTGTTATAAGATTTTTCATTTCATAATATTTATAATCTCATAAACGACTTACTGTAATTTTACAATGTTTTGAAGTCTTTAGAAGTTTAAGTTGTAGTGTGGATACAAGTGTAAAGCCTGTGAAGTATTACGTTTACAGTGGAGAGTTTGGTTCTTAAGCTCTTATATTTCCACATTAATAGTATTATTTACATAGGAAAATACTGAAATATAGTTTTTTACTTAAAGGGAAAATATCAACTTGCTACAGAAATAAAAGAAAAAGAAATAGAAGGATTGAAAGAAACATTAAAAGCATTACAGGTAAAGTAATAAGTATTGCTTAAAAAGTAATTTGGCATTTTAGCATTGTATCAGTAAAATATCATTAAACATGTAAGCTAGCAATGCAAAGCTAATAAAAAAAATCACCTATGATATATAATATATAATTTAGTACTTTTTATCTTAGAATCTTGAATTTCAAATTAGAAAGATTTTTGCTTCATTTTTTATTTTAAAAAGAAATATTAAAATAACTTTCATTATTTTTCATAGTAATATAATTAGATATATATTGTTTTTAATACTTTACAGATTAAAGTATTAAAGGAAAATAAGTCAGGCGTGTATACTATGACAGATTCACCCATGGTTCCTAAAATTTTAAATAACATTGAGTCATTATTACTTGCTAAATAATGTGGTTATTTTCTGTAAATACAAAGATGAAGAAAACATCACATTTGCCTTTAAGTTGTTCACAGTCTCAGAGAATACAGAGGTGTACAACTAATGATGATTTTATATATATATATATATAGTCTATGTGCCGAGCACTTTTCTAAGCACTGGGGATACAGCAGTGATTAAAAAGGACAAAATCTCTGCCCTGGTGCACTTACATTTTGATAGGGAATACAAACATTAAAATTAGATTAAAAAGTAAATTAAAGATTATTGGAGGGAAGATATTCACATGATTTCAAAATATCATCCTATAGATAATATTAACTACAGAGAGCAAAATACATTTTTACAGTGGAAGGATCCTGGTAGTCACTACCTTAATCAGGTAATTCACACCATAGTGTGGACTTGTTTAAGTAGATGACAAACTTTCTTCCTTTAGTCTGATTAAGGTAGTACAAGGGTTCCGTTTTTCTCCACATCCTCATTAACTTCATCTTTTTTTATCACAGCCATTCTAATAAGAGTTAGGTGATACCTCATTGTGGGTTTGATTTACATTCCCCTGATGATGAGTGATGTCGAGCACATTTGCATATACCGTTTGGCCATGTATGTGTCTTCTTTTTAAAAAAAATTATTTTATTGATTTTTTTACATGGAGGAAGGGAGAGGGATAGAGAGTTAGAAACATCGATGCGAGAGAAACATAGATCAGTTGCCTCCTGCACACCCTCTACTGGGGATGTGCCCGCAATCAAGGTACATGTCCTTGACTGGAATCGAACCTGGGACCTTCAGTCCGCAGGCTGACGCTCTATCCACTGAGCCAAACTGGTCAGGGCAATGTGTCTTCTTTTGAGACATGTCTATTCAGGTCCTCAGTCCATTTTTGAATTAGATTATTTGTGTTTTGTTTTGCTAGTGAGTATATGAATTCCTGACATATTTTGGATATATTTGCAGATGTTTCTCTCATTCTATAGGTTGTGTTTTCACTCTGTTGATTATTTCCTTTGCTGTGCAGAAGCTTTTTAGTTTTATACAATTCCACTTGCCTGTTTGTTTTTGCCTTTGTTGGCCTAGACCAGGGGTTCTCAACCTGTGGGTCGCGACTCCTTTGGCGGTCGAACGACCCTTTCACAGGAGTCACCTAAGACCATCCTGCATATCAGATATTTACATTACGATTCATAACAGTAGCAACATTACAGTTATGAAGTAGCAATGAAAATAATTTTATGATTGGGTCACAACATGAGGAACTGTATTTAAAGGGCCAGAAGGTTGAGAACCACTAGACTAATGTCAAGAAGCTCTTTTCCCATTTTTTTTTTCTTCTAGTAGTTTTACTGTTTTAGATCCTATGTTTAAGCCTTTAATACATTTTTAGTTGATTTTTGTAATAATGCAAGATTTTGTGTATGGTGTGAGATAATGGTCCAATTTCAGTCTTCTGAATGTAACTATCCAACACCGTTTTTTGAAGACTGCCCTTTCCTCACTATGTATCTTGGCGATCTTGTTGAAGATCAGTTGGAATAGATGCATGGATTTATTTCTGGAATCTCTATTCTGTTCCATTGGTCAAGATGTCTGTTTTTATGCCATTATCATACTGTTTTGATTACCACAATTTTGAAATATATTTTGAAGTCAGTTTATTCATCTTGCTCAAAGTTGCTTTAGCCGTTCAGGGTGTTTAGTGGTGCAATATGAATCTTAGGATTGTTTTCTTCTATTTCTGTAGAGATTGACATTGAATCTGTAGATCACTTTGGGTAATAGGGACATTTTAACAATATATATATTTTTAATCCTCACTAGAGGATATTTTTTCCATTGGTTTTTAGAGAGAGTGGAAGGGAGGGAGGAAGTGAGGAAGAAAGAGAGAGAAACATCGATGTGAGAGACACATTGATTGGTTGCCTGCAGCCAACCAGGGATGGGAATAAACAGAACAGGGGTACATGTTCTTGACTGGGAATCAAACCCGAGACCCTTTTTGGTCTGTGGGCTGATGTTCTAACCACTGAGAAACCAGCCAGGACTATTTTAACAATATTAATTCTTGCATCCATGAACACAGGATGTCTTTCCATCTATCTGTATCTTAAAATTTTCTTCATCTGTGTTTCATAATACTCAGTGATCAGTCTTTTACCACTTTGGTTAAATTTATTCCTAAGTATGTTATTTTTTTATTGCTATTGTGAATTCAGTTTTTAAAATTTTATTTCCTTTACAGTTATTTTGTGTGTTTTTTGTAGATAGAAAAAATGTGGCAGATTTTTGTATGTTGATGTTGTAACCTGCAGTTTTAATGCATTCATTTATTAGTTTTAACACTGTATTTTTTGTTGTCTTTAGAGTTTTCTACATATATGAACATGTTATCTTTAAATAGAGTATTACTTTTTCCTTCTAATTTCGATGTGTTTTTTTTCCTTGCCTAATTGCTCTGCCAAGGACTTCTAGTACTGTGCTGAATAGAAGTGATGAGAATGGGTACCCTTGACTTATACTGAATTGATTATGATTTTTACTGTGGGCTTTTTATAGATGGCCTTGTGTTTACGTAAGTTCCTTGTATAACTGTTTTGTTGAGAGATTTTATTATGAACAGATAATGAATTTTGTCAAAGGCTTTTTCTGCATCTATTGAGATGAACATGATTATTTGTCATTCTGTTAATGTGATAAATACCACATCGATGGATTTGCTATGTTGGACTATCTTTGTAGCACAGGGATAAATTGCACTTGTCATGGTGTACTATCCTTTTAATATGCTGTTGAATTCAGTTTGTTAGAATTTTATTGAAAAATTTTGCATCTATGTTCATCATGGATATTGGTCAAAATTTTTTTGTCTTGTGGTATCTTTGTCTGGCTTTGTTATCAGAGTTTCAAAATATTTTTGAGCCACACCAGCCAGGGCTACAGCTCCTTAATTGTACTCTATAGCTCTTCTAGGGCTATATTTTCAGTTGTAGGTAGTAGTTAAAGTGTGTGTGTGTGTGTGTGTGTAAGTAAGTGCTGGGACCTCCTAGTCTTGCTATCACTCCCATGAATTCTTTACATTTCTCACAAATAAGCCCTTGCTGTCTGTGTTCTGAGCTTCAAATTGTTACTTTTTTCTTTCAGTTTCAGAGAGAGGAAGGGAGAGGGAGAGAGGGATAGAAACATCAATGATGAGAGAGAATCATTGATCAGCTGCCTCCTGCACTCCCCCCACGGGATGGAGTCTGACCGGGAATGGAACCATGATCTCCTGGTTCATAGGTCAGCACTCAACCACTGAGCCATGCTGGGCCGGGCCAGATAGTTTCTTAAGTTTGTCATTTGTATTTTGATTTTTGTTTAATTTTTGCTATTAATTATTTATTTTTAATGACTTTTAGGCTTTGTAATGGTTAGAAAGGCTTTTACCACTACAAAGTTATAAAGGGATTTACCCAGGTTTTCTTTTATTACTTCCTATGTACTAAAATTTTACATTTCATCTCTGTTGACTTGAAGTTTATTTTTGTAGCAGAGTATGAGATATGAATCTAAGTCTGTATTTTTCTAGATTCTTATCCAGTTGTCTTAACATTGTTTAGATTCTCCCTATTTGAGATGTTAGGCAGTTTTTATTTTGGATTTCTTTGTTGCTTTGATGTAGCAAAGTGAATAAAAATTAAGTACAACAAAATGTCAATGAGTTCCAAGAAGAATGTTTTCAGTAAAAATAAGGGAATGGATTTCATGCCTCAGATTGGATGATATTAGTGATGTAGTAAAAAATCCTTTGTCTTGCTTCAACAACAACACAAAAGTAGGACGTGATTAAAAACCCCAGGGAAAATAGATTACTGTATAATTAAGGCATAAAGCATATTAAAATTTGGTATGGTTTTGAGCAGATGATGGAATATAAGAAGAGAGAAGGTAGTTAGGTCCTGACACTAGTAAAATTATCCTTCATGTAGCATGTTGAATCTGTATGTAGAGAAGGAAATGTAGTATTAGCCCCTTATGGGGTTCTGCATTAAACAATGTTTATATTGATTGCCATAACATAAACACTGTTGGCTTATCTTTTGTATAATTAACCTTTAAATAAAGCATGGAAAACTTAATTATGGCTACAGAACAAAACTTAAATGTTACTAACCTTGTTGATTAAAAAGTGTGGTAAAGTGAAGTTGAATCCAATATACAGAAATATTTTTTAAAGTTGATGGAACAAGAAATACAGGATTAAGTCTCCTGTTTACAATTATCAGCTTGTTCAAGGCAGTGTGCTAAAAAATTTATTTCATAGGAAATATGAAGTAATTATTGTATTTTTTCTTAAAATTAGTAAATATGAGCAGGATTTAAGAAAATAAGCACTCATACATGGCTAATTGAGTTTTAACTTGGTTAACTACTCTGGAGGACTATGTAAAATTGTTAAAAGTCTATAAAAATGAACAAAACTTAGGGATTCAGCTCCTTGGAATTTATCCTGCTAAAATGAATAACTATACAGTTCTTGGTTCAAGCATGTTTATTTCAGAATAGTTTCATAAAGCTGTAAACTGGATAAACTAAACAAAAATGAGAGTGATGTGATAAACTATGATATAAATGTGGAATACTATGTAGCCATTAAAAAGTTATGTTGTAGGCTCACTTGTCACAAAAAGGTGTTTGTTATATATTAGGTAAAAATAGGGTACAAAGTAGCACATATATTATTATTCCTCTCCCTTCTGTCTCTCTTTTAAAGTATAAATGCATAAAAAGTATCTGTTAGAATAAAAATATCAAGATTACAATTTCTGGGTTGTGAGATGATTTGTTTAAAACAAGTTTATCCTCTTCCTATTCCTAATCTGTTTTTATCAAATTTTCCTATTCCCAATCGATTTTTATCAAATTTTCTTCAATGAAGAGCTAATAATAAATGACAAACTCACCTAGACTGCTCTTGCTATTCCTCTTGCTTTATTTTTCTTTATAGTAGTTGTCACTCTCTTAACTTCTGTACTTCTTACTTATATTTTGTCTGTCTATCACTATCTCCACTGGACATAAAGCTTATTAAGTAAAGGAAGTTTGTTTTGTTCACTGCTGTATCCAAGAAAAGTGCCTGGCATATAGTAGGTGCTCCATAATATGTGCTGAATAAATAAATGAATGTATTGCTTTGCTAAAAGGAAGAAAGTTATGGTAAATAACATTAAAAAAATGTCACTGGAAATAAATAGTGCATGGAAGGTAAATGGCACATTTCATAGCATTCAGTTTTATTATCAGGAGGAATTTGTAACTAGTTAATTTTTAAAAAAATTAATGAGATTTTCCACTTGTTTTCAAGGTTTCTAAATATTCTTTACAGAAGAAAGTGAGTGAAATGGTAAGGAAATTACAAAATATACACCCTCCCCCAGACAGATACATATTGTGCATTGTACTTTTATCAATATAAATGTGACTCAAAAAAAGGTTGAAATTGGATATTAATATCTTCTTTAAATGACTAAATTACAAAAATCACTTAATCTGTTTCACAAATTTATTTCCAGATTACATAGTGTTTACATATGATAAAATAAATTTAATACAGGTTCTGTAGTATTGGTAGAGGTTTTATATTAAAATAAAACAAAGAAATAAGAACAACAAAACCTTTTAAACATATCTTTTCTAGGTGTTTATACAAACATGAAGTTATTAATTATAGCCTGAAAAATAACAATAACATGATGTAGCATTTGAATACAGCACTTGGGGTATGGTATCCATCCTTTATCATGCAACAAGTGTTTGTGTATTCCTCTTCTATAGCATATTAAATGTCAATATTTTCATTTTTACAGCATAACATTTTATGAAATACTTACTTTGATATTCCCTTTTTATCCTGGTTTGATTTGAAGGATTTACTTTTGTATTTTTGAGTAAGCAAAATTCTCCTATATCAACTTAAATCTTCAGAGGGCTTCTTTGGTGGGTTTACCCTATTTCAGTCTTCCTTCTTTGGAGCAGACCATAGGGCAAGGAAAATTAATTTTTGAGTAAAGTTTATATATTATATATAAATGAGAAGTAAGAAATGAAAGGTTATCCTTCGGACATTAAATACAAAACAAAGTATTTTCTCCTTGAAATTGTTTTGGTGTGTTAGAAAATAAAAGAGCTATAGAAAGATTGCTAAGCTTGATTAAATAAAAGATGTGAAAATTGTGTCACTGTTCAACTGGAAAGAATAAAGATAATATTGTCAGACTGTTTTAAACTATTATTTTAATTAAAAAGCTGAAAAACTAGATTCCAGTTTAGCCTTAAGTACCATGACATTTGTACTGAAAGTCATCTTCAACGCTACAGTGGTTTTACACAAAATATAGTGAAATTGAATAATGTGCCCTCTGACCTGAGAGATAAGGCTACAAGTTAAAGAGTAAAAGCAACATAAAATGTGTTTTATTTATTCCACTTTAAAATTTCATCAAACAGATATTCATAATCTTAAAAAACCATGGAAACATGCAGTATACTTATGGTTGGCTTTGGCCACTTCTGAGCATTTTGTTGCTATGAATTACAGCCTCTAAAGAATCTACTAAAATGATATTTGAGTTATAGTTATATTTTTTCTGACAGTTCAAAGCCTTCAATCACTTTGCATTAAAAAACTTTATATAGAGAGATGTACATTTAATATTTATGCCCATTATGGCAGAATATTGTATGTTTTGAGATAATTGATCTTAAAGTTAAATGTAGTCTTTTTTTTCCTGAAGATTCTTACACTCTTCTTTTTACATTATTTTTATTTAATTCAGATGAGATATTTTTTTAACAAGGATATTTTGCCACTTTTATTTATTTTTATAGATTTTTAAAATTGATTTTAGAGAGGAAAGGAGAGAGAGAGAGAGAGAAACATCGATGTGAGAGAGAAACATCGATCAGTTGCCTCCTATACATGCACTGGGGATTGAACTGGCGACCTTTCAGTGCACTGGACAACTGGCTCAACCAACTGAGCCACATCAGTCAGGGTCAGATGATCTTTTCTTTATTTAAAGTGCTATGCAATATTCAGTACTTCAGTTCATCTTATTTTATTTAAATTAGTACATTTATATTATTTGACTCTATGGGCAAGACAGGAAGCAAGATGGTCACTGTGTCAATGTCGGACTTTGGGGAGTAATTAATAAAGTTGTGTGCTGAAAGAAATAATTTAAAAAATAGTATTAAGAAACTTTCAAAGAAGTTTATGATCTTCTTTTGGTGAGCCCTTAACTACTACTAAGTTTCTGTCTTTTGTGGATTCAATAAGCTCATTTTTGTGGAGTTTGTCTCTAAATTAACAGAGTTATGAATTGAGAGATGCATCTATTTCTAAAGGTACTCAAATCTTCTTTTGAACAAAGGATCACATTGATTATTACTAATAAAAATAATGCAATAAAACATGATAAAAAAACAAACAAACCAGAGAACATCTGAATAACTGTCATTGTGATTCGATCATTGAGGTGACTATGTTGTAATGAGTAGCTAATAGAGCTTAATGAATGAAGTAAACATTTATCCAACCATCTTTTAGTTATATTTTATTTATTTTTGTATATCCCTTTCCTCTAAAGAAAATACTTAGAGATTTATTTTTCTTTATTAAAATAAAGTTTCAATATTGAAGATTTTCACCCTGACCAGTTTTGTTCAGTGGTTAGAGCGTCATGGGTCACAGGTTCGATTCCAGGTCAAGGGCACATACCTTGGTTGCAGGTTCCCCAGCCTCCCTAGCCCTGCATGCAGGAGACAACCAATTGATATGTCTCTCTCACTCTCACGTCCATGTTTCTCTCTATATATATCACCCTCTCCTCCCTCCCTCCATCTCTCTCTAGAAATCAATGGAAAAAATATCCATGGGTGAGGATCTTAAAAAACAATATTGAAGGTTTTTATATGATTTAGAATTACCACATATTTTCTTTCAGAGTCGAATATTTTTAGACTGAAGACTTGTCTGGAAATAATCTTCATAATTATAATGATTATGTATATCAGTACACACATACAAAGTATAAATTTCGATTCTTTAAGTAATATACATATCTTATTTTTGTGACTAAGAAAGTATCCTACAGCCCTCTCATCAGAGGGTTTTCAGAGCAACAGCTCCTTCTCTCACCTCCGCATGTAACAATAAAGCTGTGTGTATGTGTAGAGAGAAACTGAAAAATAAAACAGATGGTTCTTTCATTACCAGGTTGCTTTGGATTAATTGAACTGAACATGTTATTTTTTTCAAGGAGACGGAGCTGGATCCTATGGCTAACCAGCCATGAACTACAGTAATGTAATAGGTGCTGCTGGGTGTGCTGTTGGATTTTTTTGTTTTGTTTTTGGCAATTTCATCATTCTGTCAAGTATTTTGGGGACAGTGCTTACAAGTGAAGAAGCAGCACAACCTTTGTCTTGGATAATTTCTAGTGGTACAACGATTGGGCAGACAGCCTCCTGAAGCTCCAGCACCCTTACCACATTCTTCATCTTAAGGAACAGAGGGCCTTTGGAAACGGATTCCTTAAAAGTGCAGGAGAGCCAGCCATGAGAGGCTACCTCATGGCTATATTCCTGAGTGCTGTCTTCCTCTATTATGTGCTGCATTGTATACTATGGGGAATAAATGTCTATTGTGAAGCCGTGGTGTTGAGCATCTTTGGGATATAACTTTCTTCATATAATATTTCATCTCCTTCAACTGATGGAGTGATTCTTGGACTCAGAGATACTCGACCTTTCTAACCTAAAATGCTTGGATAAGAGATTGTTTGATAAATGTAGATACTACATATGTTTTCCTTTGTTTAAAAATATTTGATGAATGATGATATTTGTATATTTTAAAACAACTTTGAGTTAGAATGTCACATATAAAACTTAGAAGAGGTAAAAAAAACAAAACACAAACAAAAAAAAGAAAGTATCTTACATATGCCATAAATTTTTAAAAAGTGAGTTTTATAATCCCGTTGCTATATTGGGTTTATATTGAAGAAATTGAAAGGTAAGTTGCAAAATTAGAAATGAATAATATATGAAGTTTTTGTTTTTTATATTTTTCTCTAAGATTTACTTATGTGTTAGGTGTCCCATGGGAAATTAATTTTATTTTGAAAAGTTTTCAAATCAGTCTTCATAAGGAAATGAGAAAAGGGAGAAATGAGCTGCTATAGCATTTATTAGTAAATGTAGTTCTAAAAAGTTGCATGTAGAAGTCAAGACAGTCTCTTCAATAAATGGTGTTGGGAAAATTGGACAGATACATGCAAAAAAAAATGAAACTAGACCACCAACTTACACCATACTCAAAAATAAACTCAAAATGGATAAAGGACTTAAACGTAAGACGGGAAACCATAAAAATCTTAGAGGAATCCACAGGCATCAAAATCTTACACATTATGTCGTAGCAATATCTTCACCAGTACAGCTCCTAGGGCAATGGAAACTAAAGAGAAAATAAACAAATGGACTACATCAAAATAAAAAGCTGCTGCACAGCAAAAGAAACCATCAACAAAACAAGAAAGCCCACTGCATGGGAGAACATATTTGCCAATGTTATCACCGATAAGGGTTTAATCTCCAACATTTACAGGGAACTCATACAACTTAACAAAAGGAAGATATACAACCCAATCAAAAAATGGGCAACGGACCCAAATAGGTACTTTTCGAAAGAGGACATACAGAAGGCCAAGAGACATGAAAACATGCTCAAAGTTACTAATCATCTGAGAGATGCAAATCAAAACAACAATGAGATACCATCTCACACCTCAGAATGGCTATCAACAAATGACAAGTGATGGCGAGGATGCGGAGAAAAAGGAACCCTCGTGCACTGCTGGTGGGAATGCAGACTGGTGCAGCCACTGTGGAGAACTGTATGGAGTTTCCTCAGAAATCTAAAAATGGAACTCCCATTTGACCCAGTGATCCCACTTCTAGGAATATATTCCATGAAACTAGAAACACCAATCAGAAAGGATATATGCACCCCTGTGTATATAGCAGCACAACTTACAATAGCTAAGATTTGGAAACAGCCTAAGTGCCCAACAGCAGATGAGTGGATTAAAAAACAGTGGTACATCTACACAATGAAATACTATGTCGCTGTAAAAAAGAAGGAACTCCTACCATTTGCAACAGCATGGATGGACCTGGAGAGCATTATGCTAAGTGAAATAAGTCAGAGAAAGATAAATATCACATGATCTCACTCATTTGTGGAATATAATCAACACCATAGACTTATGAACAAAAACAAATCCAGAGACAGAGAAGCATCAATCAGACCATCAAACCTCAGAGGGAAGGCAGGGAAGGGTTGGGGGGAGAGATTAATCAAAGGACTTGTATGCATGCCTATAAGCATAACCAATGGACACAGGCACTAGGGAGGTGAGCGCACGATGGGGGGTAGGGAGGCAATGGGGGGATAAGGACACGTAATGCCTTAATAAAAATTTGCATGTAAATATTTTTAAATGATTCCTATTTTAAATGTCTTGAGGCTTTTAATTAATGTACACACACACACACACACCCCTACTCGTTAATTATGCATGTTCTAGCTTTTCTTTCTTTAACCTTGATTTTCATAGATTAAGTTTGTTTAAAATGAGGTACACATGTACTTGGAAAGCAATTAATCCTAGCATTATTTTCTTGTGGACAGATTCTTTGCATTTAGTAGTAAAATGATGTAAAAGAATAAATAGCTTGAACAAATTCACAAAGGTAAAAAGAACAATGTACTTAGCTATTTATGTACTTAGCTATTTTCTAGTCATCTCAATAAAATAATCTTTATTATGGTATAATATATGATATTAAAGTTTGAATAACACAAATTTATTTGTATTTTTTAAAGTGTTCTTAGGTTTCTCAGGCAGGTGTTACCAATCTATTTTTTTGTTGTTATTTCCCAAAGAATTTACACTATTTGCTGACAGTCATGCAGTTAGTGGCAAACTTGACAACTGGCCTCTTCATCTCACTATCAAGACAGCCCATGAGATTCATGTATGAACAGTTCCATATAGGCCTGTATGGGCTAATAAGCTATAGGAGCTCATATGGTATTTAATGTGGCTATTGAATAGACCAGCGGTTGCCACTGGTGGTCCATGAGGTCCAAAAGGTTGGCGACTGCTGGTTTAAAGAAACCTTGGAGCAGCAGTTGCCAGCCCATGGTCCGCGGAGGTCTGAAAGGTTGGCGACCACTGGAATAGACTAATGTGTGAAAATAAGAGTCATGTCATGCAAACAAATGAAACTGCATTTTAATTGAATTCAACTTTGGCCTCAAGGAAAGGATGTTGGAGTAGAGAATATCATAAATTAATGTGTGTATAAGAGCTCTGTATGTAGAGAATATCTATGAAATCACTTGATTTTTGCCGCATTTTTAGTTAATCGGGATTATTAACGTTTGTAGGCATTAACAGCCTATTTTATTCACCACTTTTTCACTGAAAGTTAAAGAAGTCTGCATCAATATGTAGGGGATAATATTCTCATAGAAGCTATGTATAAATTGCTTGCATTGGAAAAATGTCTTTAGACCGGTTTTTTGGTGGAATTGTCTGAGGTTTCTTCATATCTGCTGAAAGCAAATATAATTCTCTGGGTTAGAGAATTAAGTGGTATTTTAGAGGAATGAAATGTGGTTCATTATTGTTCATTGTTCAGTTATTGATAATAGTGACTACTCAGGTAGGCATAAGATCTCGGGAGGTAAGTACACTTGTCAGCTTGTTTGCTTTGATAACTGCTGCACAATTCACTCAAATGACTAAGTAGTAAATTTGAAAAGATCATAGATGTGCATGAGAAACTTTCAACTGATCTGTCATAATCATTATCATTGATATTATCACTTTGCTTAAAATCATTAAAAAGTGTCTTTGAAAAAGTTAAAATTATCAATAAATTTTCCAAGATAATTAGTCAGATACAACTTAAATTGTAACGTGTGTTCTCTATTAATATTAGGGCTGTTCTTATTTCAAATAAAAAACTATAAAGATATTTTAATCAGTTAAGGAATAATAATAAAATACTGTGATGTACTTAGTATGTGACAGTCCTGTTCTCGGTGCCTTATATGTATTATTTTATCCTCACAGCAACCCCTTGAGGGAGATACTATAACGATCTTCATTTTAAAGACAGGGTATATGATTTTCCCAAGGTCATACAGCAACTGAATTACAGAAGTACTATTTAAACATAGGTAGATTATCTTTTGACCACTCTATACTGCCTGTCCTTGCTTTTTAGCAGAGATAGCTCTAGTTAACTTATGCAAATGGAGACTTAATGGAGGCCCTCACAGTAAATCAGAAAGTGAAGAATGGGCTTGAGAATGAACAGTGAGCAGGGTAATTCCCGAGTTTGTGAAGCAGGAGGTAGGAACCCAGGAGAGAAGTCTCACATCAGTCTGGATGGGATCGATCATCACTGAACTTGTTTAGTGTTATATTCTTTTTGCTCAAGATTTAAATTCCCAAAAGGTAGAAATCAATTGGTTTATTTTGGGTAATAAGGTAGGCCCTTCACTTGACTAGGGAAAAAGAGGAGCCCTAAATTTTAGCCCTACTAGGTTGTAATGAGGAAAAAAATATTAAAAAAAAAATACTTGAAGTTGTGTTATTGTTGGGTAAGGGAGACAGGTTGCCAGGCAAATTTAACAAATTTCCACTGTTGGAACTCTATGGGGTTAATTCAGAAAATAATTACTGAGTGCCAGTCAATTGGCCTACACTGTTCTCTATCACTGCTCATTATAGAAGCTGAAGCATGTGGCAAAAATGAATGAAAGTTGTGATGCAGTAAAACCAGTCAATGATTCTGTTAATGCTAAGTCCAGATCATGACCTTTAAAAATGTTATTGATTCTATTAAAATAACATTTTTCTTTAAAATGTAAAGTCATATTTCAAAAGTATGGTAAAAACAAACTCCTTTAGCTAAAAGCATGAAGGCCCATACTGTATGTAGAGTCCAATTTTTACCAATTATATCTCTCAGCTTAAGTAGACTTTTTACTATACTATGTTGCCTCCCTGTCACTAATAAATATTATCCTCATCATTTTAATTTTTAATGCAATGAGAAGGTGCTACATTCATTAAAACTAATCTCAGAAAAAAATGCCTGAATTTTGATCATAACACATCATAATTATGCCAGCAAATTTAGAGAAAAACATTTTTCCTAAAAATATCCTATCTAATAAAGACAGACTATGCAAATTGACCACCACTTCGTGACAAAGATGGCGGCGCCCACAGCCCATAAGGAGGGAATATGCAAATTGACCACCACTTCGTGACAAAGATGGTGGCGCCCACAGCCCATAAGGAGGGAATATGCAAATTGATGGTGGCGGCCCTGCCAGGACACTTGCATCGTCGCCATGGCAACGACGCAGGCATTCCACCCCGCCCCGGCTGCTCCGGGCCTCTGGGCAGTGCGCGAAGGCGGAAGGCAGCTCCGGGCTGGAGCGAAGGAGGAAAGGCGGCTCTGGCTGGAGCGAAGGCAGTTCCGGCTGCCAGGGGAAGGAAGGCCTATTGTTGCATGAATCTTTGTGCATTAGGCCTCTAGTTGCTTTAATATTTCCCCCATGTTGCTTAGTAGACTGCACTAACTTTTCAATAAATAAAACCAGTTGATTTTTAAAAAATATTTTTTTATTGATGTCAGAGAGGAAGAGAGATAGAAACATCAGTGATGAGAAAGAATAATTGCTTGACTGCCTCCTGCATGTCCCCTACTGGGCATCAAGCCTGCAACCTGGCCATGTGCCCTTGACTGGAATCTAACCTGGGACTCTTCAGTCTACAGACTGACACTCTTATCTACTGAGCCAAACCAGCTAGGGCAACCAGTTGATTTTTGAAAAAGGAAACTGTAAACAAGAGAAATATAATCATAAGTCACTGTTTTGTTACGGGGGAAAACATGCTTTAATTTTATATAGATTTAGAAATATCTGCTAATATTTCCTCCCTATGGTATACTCAATACTTTTTCATGACACATTTATGTTAATGACAGGTATTAAAAACAATAACTTTTTATATGTTTAATATATATGTCTGCATATTTTTATGTGTGTGTTACGTATGTATAACATTTAAAACAACTCTTCAAAATAGGAACAAAAACTCCAGTTACAGCTTCTGGCTAAAGAAGATCATCAGAAGCAACTGAATGAAATTGAGAAATACTATGCCACAATAACAGGGCAGTTTGGATTGGTAAAAGAGAGTCATGGAAAGTTAGAACAAAATGGTAGGTGCTGTCTTATTTAAACATATATTTAATAGGAAATGTTTAAATGGACTTATTTATAATGAATAAATTGAAGTTAACTGAGATTAGTAATAGTGAATTTTATTTAAATTCAGTAATAATCATACACATTGCAATGAGGCTATTTTCTTGTCCATGTTAATGATATATTCTTTAAAATGTAAATTGAATATAATATTTTCCTAAATGTCTTTCATGTTGCAGTACAGGAAGCAATACAGTTAAACAAAAGACTTTCAGCTTTAAATAAAAAACAAGAATCTGAATTATGCAGTTTAAAAAAGGTATGGCTGATACAGTGTTATAGTATTAAATAAAATTATAGTCAAATAGTTTTATAAAATATTACTAGAAAATTTTTGATAGTTTTTTATAAATAAAATTTTGAATACAGGTTCATAAATTTTTAGTTATGATTCCAATAAATGTAATGAATAAGTTTGTTCTAATCTATCTGAAATATTGTTTGACTTGTCACCAGTGGCATGCATTTTTCTGGTAACATGAGTAGCCTATAAGCATTCACTATATGTCATTTCATTCATTCAATCAATACTTGAGTGATTCATTATGCCAGGTATTATGTGGCACTGAGGATATAGTATGAGGAAAACAAAACACATCCTGCTTTTTTGAAGTTTATAATTTAGTGGAGGAGCTGGACATAAAACAGTCACATAGATTAAATAATTTTAAACTGTTATAAGGGATATGAAGAAAAAGTAAATGATATAGACATTATAACAGGTGACATTATTACATTGGAGGTAAAGGGGTGAGGAAGGGAAGAGAATTAAGTTTTCAGGCAAGAGAAGCAGCATATGCAAAAGCCTTGAGGCAGGAGAGAGTTTAGTTTATGTGAAGAACTAGGAAAAGTGTGGTGTGGCTGGAGAATCACAAGGGAAAGAATGCATTGGATATTTATTGATTGCTGACTGAGCATCAATATCCCCTTACTTGACATCTGTACATCTTCTTTAGTGAGGTGCCTATTCAGATCTTTTACATGTTTTTAATTGGATTGTTTATTTTCTTATTGTTGAATTTTAAGAATTTTATCTATAGTTGGGTAACAGTCCTTTATCAGATGTGTCTTTTATAAATATTTTATCCCACTCTGTGGCTTGTTTCCTCCTCTTGACATTGTCTTTTGCAAAGTAGAAGCTTTTAATTTTAATAAAGTCTATCTTATCACTTATTTCTTTTGTGGATTGTGCCTTTGGCATTTTACCTAAAAAGTCACTTATATACAAGGTCCTCTAGATTTTCTTCATTGTTCTAGGAGTTTTATAGCTTTGTATTTTACATCTAGGTCTATGATCCATTTGAGTTTTTGTGAAGGGTATACAGTTGTCTAGATTCTTTTTTGCATGTGAATGTCCCATTGTTCCATCACCCTTTGTTGAAAAGATTATCTTTGCTCCATTGTATTTTCTTTGCTCCTTTATTAAATACTAGTTGATGGTATTTATGTGGGTCTATTCTGGGTTCTCATTTCTGTTCCACTGACTTAATTGTCTTTTAAAGTCTTGAAGCTGGGTAGTGTCAATCCTCTTACACTGTTGAATGAACTGTTCTGGGTTTGCCTCTCCATATAAACTTTAGAATTAGTTTGCTGATATCCACAAAATAATTTGCTGGGATTTTGATTGGGATTGTAATTAATCAATAGATCAAGTTGGGAAGAATTGACATCTTGAAAATATTGGGTCTTCCTACCCATAAATATTTAGTTTTTCTTTGATATCTTTCATCAGAGTCTTGTAGTTTTTCTCATAGATATTTTATATTTTGTTACATTGATACCTATATATTTCATTTTGTAGGGTGCTAATGTTAATGGTAATGTGTTTCTATTTTCAAATTCAACTTGTTCACTGTTGGTATATAGAAAAGTGTGAGGTAATAGAAAATATATGTATTGGTCTCTGCCCACAGTTCCTGGCACAGAACTCTTAAAACCCTTGTAATGAATGTTCTAAGTGATAGGAGCACCTTTTGTTCTAATGAGGTGACTCTGGGTGGGCTCCTCAATGGGGACTGATCACTAGAATGACGAAGCCATGATTAGAAACTTGAAAATTTCAGCCCTGTTTCCTTCATACCACTCACTTCTCCAGAAAGGGGAGAGGGGCTAGAAAAGGAGTTAATAATTGATCATGCCTATGTGAGGAAGCCTTCATAAAAATCCAGTAGTATGGGTTTTGGAGAGCTTCCAGGTTGAACACATCCATGTACTGGGAGGGTAACACACCCAAACTTCATAGAAACAGAAGTTCTGTGCTTGGGACCCTCCTAGATCTGGCCCTGCGTATCCTTCATCTGGCTGTTCATCTGTATCCTTACTATATCCTTTGATAAGCTGGTAAACCTAAGTGTTTTTCCTGAGTCTGTGAACAACTCTAATCAATTAATCGAACCCAAGGAGTGTGTCCTAGGAATCTCTGTTTGTAGCTCATCAGTCAGAAGTGCTTAAACTTGTGATTGGCATCTGAACGTTTTCTTTTCGGTCACATCCTAGAATATTAAAAATGGCTCTTTTACATATGAAGAGGAAAAGCTGCAATTTGAAAAATTTGTCTGTAGTCTCAAATCAAAAAACAGTTAGGACCACTAATTTTTGTCAGTATAAACTTCAAATGCTAAATACTCGCTGAGTAGTTGTTTTCAGTGATCTCTCTTTGGTTCGTTTATTTTTGATTTAATATTTTTGATCAATAACTTAAGCTATTAAATAATTAATTTTGATGACTATATTAAAATATTAATTCAATTAGCTTTTGCATTATGAAAAGATTATGCCTCATAAATTTCTATACTAAATTATGTATTCTTTACTAGAGACAAATGTTTCTTTATAACATAATAAACTATTATATTTCAAATGTATAGTTTAAGACTGACCTGTAGATGGAGACGAGGCTCATGTAAATCTAAGGAGAGATAGACGCCTTAGTGGATCTATGTAAAAGGATGAAAATTGTCTCTTTTTAGGCACAAGTGAAACTGTGTCTCATGAACATGCTTGTCCTTTTTCCCCAGAGGAGCCTGGGCCAGGGCTACCAGATTGTACTGTGTATCATGCCCTGGTGGCCTCAGTCGCTCTAGAAAGCATTACAGTTAGTGACCATGCTGCCAAAAAAGTGAGAGAATTGTATTAACTTTGAGAGTTCCAAATCCAAGTAGTTGAAAGGATGATAATTTAAAAATATATACATTTAACAGACAATTTTTAATATTTCAAACAATCTATTTATAAAAATTTTGTATTTTTAAAAGTAATCTTGATTTTTAACTTTAAGAAACATTCTTGTCTTTTTTTTATTTTCCTTTTCAGAAGCTAATTAAGTTTAGTAGCATTGGTTATATCACTTATTTAAAACTTTTTAAGAAACATTCTTGTCTTTTTTTTATTTTCCTCTTCAGAAGCTAATTAAGTTTTAGTAGCATTGGTTATATCACTTATTTAAAACTTTTAACCATTAATTGCCCCAGAGATAATTTTATTTTTATTTTATACTGTTTTGTGATTTTGTCCAGAGCATTTAAATTATTGGTTTGTGATAAGATGGGATTCTATCTTTGTGGAGCAAAGTTAAACAGATGAAACTTAGTTGTTAGATTAAAGTAGGTATTCCAGGTCTGAATGCTGGGTTCACTATTATGGCCATCATGAAGAATTCCCGATACTATCTGTGAGCAGAATTCATAACCTCTGCTGTTTGTCTGAGTAAACGTCAGAGCACTCAAGGAGATAGTGATATTTAACAGACTACCCCATACCAGAAAAGGAGGGGAAAAGGAGAAAAGGGCACAATATTTATGACTCTAGGAACTATAAGTTGTAATTTAATGAGATCAAAGCATGTGCTGTTTATTTGCTGCACTTACAGTTTTAAATAAAATGGTTAGAAAACAGACAATACTAAAAGTTCAGGATATTTAAAAGCTATAAAGGCTATAAAATCACAAGCATATTTTCAGTGGAAAATCATTTCATGGAGGTCTCTTAATTTATTATGCTCTTAAGATTAAGTAATTAATATATAAGAGAAGAAGACATAAGCAGTTAGTTTTTACTTTTGACAGTCATATACTAGGTTTTCACCCCACCTCCCCCTTCCCACATCTCTGTTGTTTCATAACAATGATTGTAACAGGAATTGATGCACTTTAGAGAATCTCCTATGAAATTTGGCTGATAAAATAGCTCCATGTATTTAGTTGTTGAAAAATGTAGCCTTTTAAAAATTGAAGTATATTAGTCAAGTTTCTCAATTGTAAGATGATTTTGTCAGGAAAGGAATTTGGATGTTGGTCATCTTAGACTCAGAAACAAGGGAAGCTATGCCGTATCCAAGACCACAGCATAAAACCAACTTCCACTACTGAATACTGTGCCCTGCAGTTTGTATATCACTGTTGACCATAGTGGGAGCTGCTACCTGCTGCAATGGTATCAATGTTTTCCATGGAAGCTTGAAGTTCCTAGCACGTACCTGCTGTCTACCAGCAAATGGATTTGCAACACTTCTTGTTCTTTGTTATACTAGTTCCCAATCCAGTATTCAAGACAGGTGCATCTGACCAGCAGAGCCTGGTCTCATGCTTATAAAGCTGACATTTCTGACTTCTCTGGTGGGCTCTTATATTGTAGAGCTCCTAAAATCCAAAGGGAGTTCAGATCCTGTGTAGTCAAAACTGTGAAAATCAACCCTCGCTGGTTTGGCTCAATGCATAGGGCGTCAGCTGGTGGACTGAAGAGTCCCAGGTTTGATTCCAGTCAAGGGCACGTACTTTGGTTCAGGTTCTCCGGCCCTGGTTGGGGTTTGTGCAGGAGGCAACCAATCAATGTTTCTCTCTGTCTCTCCCTTCCACTCTCTCTAAAACATCAATGGAAAAATATCCTCGGGTGAGGATTAACTAAAAATTAAAAACACTTAAAAGAATGTGAAAATCAGATCTTTGAGTATTTAACATAGGCAGCATACAGAGGACAGCAGTAGGGTAAGTACACAAGTAAGTACACAGGTATAGTAAGAGAGAGGAAGGTTTCAGGATTTTATGTATTTGGATGGTATCTGTTAATCTCAGTGGACATGTAACTTCACAAATTAAGGCTTCTTTTATATTCTCTTCAATTCTATCCTGTACTATGAGGCCAGAATTATTTTTCTAAAATGCAAATCTTTTTATGTTGTTCTATTTAAAATCCTTCAATGGTTAATACTTCATTGCCTGTAGGATAAAATTAAAACTCTAGTTTGGCCTGCAAATCCCTTTCATTCAATATTTGGGTTCTGCCAAATTTCTAGCCACTGTTACCAATATTCTACTCTTCCCCCTTAGCTATAACATATGAGTTCTAGCCATATCATATTAATTTTGTTTCCCTGAAAAATCTTCCATGTTTCTGTACATTTTTGCATGTAGAATATTTTTGCTTGGAATATCTAATCCTTTTTTGTCTTTGCAAATTTATCTTTTTTTAAAAATACATTTTATTGATTTTTTACAGAGAGGAAGGGAGAGAGATAGAGAGTTAGAAACATCGATGAGAGAGAAACATCGATCAGCCGCCTCCTGCACATCTCCTACTGGGGATGTGCCTGCAACCCAGGTACATGCCCTTGACCGGAATCGAACCCGGGACCCTTCAGTCCGCAGGCCGACGCTCTATCCACTGAGCCAAACCGGTTTCGGCTGCAAATTTATCTTTTAAAGACTTAATTCAACTACTACTTTTCTATGAAATGCCTTCTTGATGCCCTCAGCCAACTGTGTTCTTCATGCTTCTCTGCATTCCGAAATATAGCACTCATCACATTATATTGTAATTATTTCTTACACAAATTTTTTCTTATTAGATGCTAATGAACTTGGGAATTTAATCATCTCTTTATATCAGAAGATTTTTGTTGGATAAGTAATGAAAGAAAATATTCTACTTATGGTTCGTTAGTGCATTTAGTTACCATGCTCCTTTAAGAGCAAAGATCATGCTTTCTTCCCCTGTGTCATTGTGTTTGCATATTCCATAGTCACTAATAATGTTCTCACCTTGGCTAATTACCTTGCAATAGAACTAGGGGAAATACACCTTGTTGGACCTGGGAGTAGTATCATCTTGATATATGAAATATTGTAAATTATACTGATAGGTTTAAAATTGGCTTTTAAACTGTCAGAAAAGTACCTTGCTTTGATGAAATATGCATACTGAATTTTTTGTTTCATGTTTCTTAAGGAACTAAAAAAAGTAACCTCAGACTTGATAAAGTCCAAAGTCACATGGCAACATAAGATGGGAGAAGAAAACATTAATTTAACAATTAAAGAACAAAAAATTCAGGAACTTCAAGAAAGACTCAACATGGTATTTAATTGATATATTCATGATTATACCAAAATGTTCCTTCTCTGTAAAGTTAATATACATAGAGAAAACAGTAGTATGAATCTTTTTAATTATTAGATTTTTGCCATTATCAGCAAGGCTTTAAGACAATAAAATTTGGTCATAGTAATTTTCTTTGCACTTTAACATGGTGTCAGATTATCTTAGGGCAGTGGTCGGCAAACTCATTAGTCAACAGAACTCATTAGTCAACAGAGCCAAATATCAACAGTACAACGATTGAAATTTCTTTTGAGAGCCAAATTTTTTAAACTTAAACTATATAGGTAGGTTCATTGTTATTAACTTAATTAGGGTACTCCTAAGGCTTAGGAAGAGCCACACTCAAGGGGCCAAAGAGCCGCATGTGGCTCGCGAGCCGCAGTTTGCCAACCACTTTCTTAGAGTATAGTGGTGTCTTCTGAAAAGTTTTTGGAGATGAGAAATTCTGTTAATTGAACATGGACATGTATAAGTCTATGCCAGCCTATATTGGTTATATAATACCATCTTTAGTTCACTAGAGTCACTGCTTCAACAGCAGACAGATGTTGGCACTCATGACCCACCGAAATTTGTTGAGCACTGAATTGAATGTAGAATTTGCTGAATTTTCTATCATAACATAAAATTGTTCAAATTTTTTAAGGAATTGGAATTAAATAAGAAGATTACAGAAGAGATTACTCATATTCAAGAAGAAAAACAGGCAAGCAATCATAAGATATTTTGGAAGTCAGTAAATATTTTTAAAACCAGATACAATGTGGGAAATAAATAACAGATGAAATCATGCCTAAGTCAGTTCCTAGCACATAGTGAGAGCCCTCAGTTAGTGAGTATTAAATGGAGACATATGCACATTTTGAGCCAGGTCTCTTACATACTCCCATTAAATAATAAATTGGGTCCTGGATGGTTTGTGCAGTGGTTAGAGCATCAGCCCAAGGACCAAAAGACATATACCTCGGTTTCAGGTTCTTCCCTGCCTTGGCCTTGGTCACATTGGATGTTTTCCTCTCTCTCTCCCTCCCTATTTCCCCACCTCCCTCCCTCCTACTCTTTAAAAGTCAATGGGAAAAATTATCCTCGGGTAAGGATTAAAATAAATAAATAAATAAGGAGATATGGGGAGATGTTCGTCAAAGGTTACAAACTTCTAGTTATAAGATGAGCAACTTCTGGGGATTTAATGTACAGCATGACTTTAGTTAACATACTGTATTATATACTTGAAACTTGCTAGGAGAGTAGATCATACATGTTCTCACCACACACACACACAAAATGGTAATTATGTGAGCTGAAAGAGATGTTAACCTTATTGTGGTAATAATTTCACTATACTGGTATCATATCATTACCTTGGACACCTTAAGCTTATACATTGTTTATGTCAATTATATCTCAGTAAAATTGGAGAAAATATTACATTTAAATATTTTTAAATAAATAAAGAATAAAAATAAATCAGTTTTTCCTTGATATTTTAGACCATGATACTCTGGCAGATAATTATTGAAATGTATGTATGCTTAGAACATATGTTTATGGGATAGTATACTCATTTAAATATGTATTTATAATAATCTTCTATTTTTTTAAAAAATGGTATATGAAAGAAAACTCCTGTTTTGTTTTGTTTTTCTATCTTTTGCTTTTCCTCCATTTGATTCTGAATGCATTCCATGGCATCCTAGGCCATTGGTAATATGACATTTTAGTAGGGATATGTTTACTAGTTTGGGGGCAAGCCAACAAAAGTTTTAGTCTTGAATTCTTCACATTTTGCATTAGTGTCTCAGAATCCATGGTCCATTTCAAAGAACTTTAATTATTTTGAGGAACTCTTGGAAATGGTACTTTGTAAAAAATCATGTAATATAAATTCATTCAGATATTAAATTAGTAAAATGTGTCATTAGCTTTTTTCAGTATATTCTTTATCATGGTGTTAAAATTAAACTATGAGAGGGGGTTAGAGAGAAACCAAAGGACTTGTATGCATGCATATTAGCATAACCAATGGACACAGACACTGGGGCGGTGGGGGCTTGCCCGGGGTGGGAATGGCTGGAGTGGGTGTCTACTGCATGACTAGCAACATGCCAGGGGAGGAAAGGTCAGGGAGGATCCAAACTGCATGACCAGCAATAGGCTAGGGAAGGAAAAGTCACCCAGGGGTTGAGGTCCCACCTTACAATTATCTGTTGCTAGGCATCCAGGACTTTTCATTCTAGTGATCTTCTGTACCCAACTTACTGTTCCTACTCTGCTCATGTCTACCTAACTACCTACTACAGACAGGCAAGGTCAGAGGAAAAGAATAAGCAGCTAACCACCACCCCTCTCCAGACCTCTCTCCTGGAAGGCTTATCTCCAGTGGGGAGGTCTCTATGTGGGGCATGGGTCAAATGAATCACACCTGGGAAGGAGAATGTCTTCTCTCTCCAGGCAGGAGTTCAGGCAGGCTTGGGAGTGCAGGGGAAGGGCCATGAGTCACTAATGATCAAGAAAGCCAAGGAATGGGAGAGGACAGAGCAGACTCCTCTGCTGTGTCAGTGTTCACAGCCTCCCTCTTGACCCATGTTCAAGGATACCCAAGGCCTTTCTGAGTCAGGATAGCTAGGAAATTCCTTGACAAGTGGAATGGGGAAACTGGGACAGGTAGCTGAACAAACTGGCTGAGCAATTTACAGCCAGATATAGAAGGTCACCAGAGCAGAAAGCTCTGGGTGCCTAACAGACAAAACTAACACCATACCTCACCCCCAGGGTGGTCTTTCCTCCCCTGGCATATTGATGATCATGCAGCTTAGACACCCTGACCTTTTCTCTCTAGAGATAACATCTAGGCCTCAGTTGTATTTCAGCTCAAGGCCTAGAAAAGCAGAAAAACCTGGAAAAGCTGATGAATATCCTATTGAGATCCTTCCATGAGAGACCTCCCCTAAATTCCCAGCCTTTAAAACCCTCAAGTCAGAAAGACCCAGTGCACTCTCTCCCTCCCAGCAGCATGCCCCCCTGCCTTTCCCTTCCATCTCTTCTTCCCCCACAGGCATGCATCTCCTAAACTCTAAGGAATCCCAAGAAATTTGCAACCAAGGGAGCAATGGGCAGTGCCAGCTTGCCCTGGGCTAACCTCCTGAACCTATTTCCAAGGCCCCCTTTTCTCTAACTTCTCAGTGACCTGACAACAATCCCACATAGTTTATCTCCTGTTGCTTCTTCTATCCTAAGCCCTTCCTTGTTTCACTGTCCCCAGCTTTAATACACATACTGTCAAAATCACCTGGACTCATATTGTGAACTCTTTCCTGCACAAAGGAAGAACCCACACACTACAGGCCCGTCCAAGGCAGACACACTCCAGCCAGTCCCTTTCTGGTAACATTTCCTAGGCCCAGGGTCTCTCAGCCTTGACACTATTAACACTTGGAGCTGGATGGGATGTGATTCTACTCTATGAACTGAAAGCCACACCTTTCATACCCTTGTAAACCTTTCAGTGTAGTAGAAAAGTTCTCTGCCAATTAGCAGTATATGTAAGAAAGTGATTGAGGAGGGGAAGAAGTTATGGTCACTGATGTTTGGGAGTGAGGGTTCAATAAGCAGGTTTGTTTGTTTTTTTGTTTGTTTGTTTTTTTTGCATTCCTAGTGGAGGAGCACCCATTTCCCCTCACAAAGCTAAGTGAAGGAGTCTATAGGAAAATCACTTGTAAAGATTGTGGTACAAAAAGGGGAAGGGCAGACTGCCCTCTTGTTTCTTAGATGGATAGAAACCTTAATGTTCACTCTGGTGTTGCCAGTAGAGTGAGATAAGTTGATGTGGAAGGATTGACATGTTTCTTGAGGTTTGGAAGTGTGCCAAGAACTTACAGACTAACGCTCAGTTATGGTCTAGAAATTTCAAGGAGGAAAGTCTTTGGAATAATCTGTGCCAAAGGGGCTTGAAGTGTATTATACTTGTTCCAATACTGAACGTATCTGGAAGGATGCAGAAGAGAGAACTTTGATGGTGCCTTGAATCCACAGGAAGGACCATGGAGGTTAGTGGAAGGGTAGGAACTGCCTTGTTTGCTACTGAGCCAAGTGATGGGATGTACAGCTTAGGAGGAGCTGGGGACCTGTTCCACTGGGGTGGCCAGTAGAAGGATTTATGCCCCTCTAAAGGGATTCTTGGGAATCCAGGGTGATGCTGAACATTTCCTAAGAAAACTACAATCACCTCCTGTGTAAAGACCACCATCAGCAGAGACCAGGGCCAACTTCATGGGTATGTAACCAATGCAGTTGCATATGGACCCAGTCTCAGAAGGGCCTTGTGCTTCAGGTTTAGTGTTCTCTGGTTACTGTCTTCAAATCTTAATGAATTTTTATCTTTGAATGTATGTTTTGTAAATTAAGTCTGATGATGGCACTGGGAGCTTGAGCCTCAGCTCCCAGTCTCCCACTGCCTCCCAGGACCACCTCCTGGCTGCTGGCTCTTCTACCCTTCTGCACCCTGGGCCCTGCCTGGCCTCATCTTCCCTGTTCCTGTCTCGAGACTTGCAACTAGTTCACATTGGTGGTGAGAGGCCCAGATGCAGGAGGGAGGGTCTGAGTGGAGTGCATGTGCCCTGCAGCATCCTGTATCCTGGGTTGGTAATATCTTGGCATTTAGCATGTTAGATAGGTGACTTGGCAGGAAGTGAGTCTCCAGTTCAGGTACAGAGGTGCATCTCTGCCTGGCAGTTGCAATCCCTTGAGGGTTACCCATCTGCCATGGGTTGGGCAAAGGGCCCATGAGACAGGAGATTGACTTCCCTCACCCACAGCCAGGACATAGTACATGGGTCCAGCCACTTGCAGTAGGTAGAATTCAGTAACTGGTAGCTTGTACTTATGCTGAGTCAAGTGGCAAGGCTTTAGGCATCTGTGAGGATCTGCATTTGTCCTGTGAGTATCCTTCTGCTCAGGGACTATGGCATTAAGTAGAAAATAAAAAGCCCCATGATAGGTTGCTGGGGATAGAGAGGAAGGGAGGAGGGAAGGACCATGAAGAAAGAAAAAACTTTTGTAATATCTTTAATAGCACTTTTTCCCCTGCCCTTTTTTTTTTTTTTAATTTTTGCACCGGGCCTCACAAATTATGCTGAGTCCATCACCTTTGAATGGAACCAAACCTAACCTTAGCAGTGCAAGATTTATCTCATCATTGATGTTTTTTGACTAGTCATGCAAAGAAAGTTTTGCCTTCCTTATTTCTCTTGCCTCTATAGGAATTAGACCTAGAAGAGGAAGAAGGAAGAGGTGTGCTTGAGTCAAACCTCTTCCTCCTCTTAACCTCTTCACCTACTCAAATAAAAGACAAGTAGAAATCATTTCTCTGAAAGTCCAGGTATAAGCAAGTATCCCTGATACCTTTTCCACCCACCCTACAGATGGATAATTTGGAACCATTTCTCTGATATGTTGAACCTCCTCCCAAGAAATATGTGATGTAGTTTATACACATTCTTTATGAGTAGCAGTTATCAGACTTGTCTTCTAATCCACTTAAAGGAGTTGAAACCTCAGTTTTTAGGATGAACAAAATATTAGAGATTAGCTAGTCTAATCATTTCATGATGAGCTAGAGATCCAGAAAGTATAAGCATGTAGTTCAAAGTCTCATAATTAGTGGCAAAACCAGGAGTAAATATTTGTCCTGACTCTATTCTAGCACTATTTCTACATAACATTGTTAGTATTTTTCCTAGACCTGTGAGAGCTGCCACTTTTGTTAGATCCATTCTATGAAAACCACAACTTTTAAATTGTTTTCCATGCATTCTAAATCCAATGTTTATGTATCATTGAATTCTACAGAGCCTAGAGTAGTTACAATTATATATATATATATAGAGAGAGAGAGAGAGAGAGAGAGAGAGAGAGAGAGAGAGAGAGAGTCATGTGTTTCTTTGAGTTCATGATAACTGTAACTATGGTTCCAGGATCTTTTAATGACACTACTAAAATCTTGGGTACTCCAAATGCCTCTCTCTTTAACTAGCACCATTATTACCTGTGCCTTTATAATATAGAGAGAAACTAGATTTCATATAGTAAAATTTCAAAGTATTGGCAAAAACAGGATAGAATTGTCAGCTTTTTATTTGAATAAGGACATTAAAAAATAACTAATACCATCTATCATCTTTTTCATTTTATGAAGGAGAACATTTTAACACTAAAAGTATAGTAAGAATATAATCTCAGGTAAAAGGAGAGTCTGTTACAAGAAAAGACATGATGCCCTCCAATTGACTTTTTTTGCCATGGCTAGTGAAATTTTACCATGCTTGTTTGCAATCAGTGCTTGTTTGCAGACTGGTGCTGGAGAACCACTGCTATATAGCATAAGAAAATATTAATGTAGAACTGTTGCTGAGGATTATGCTGCATAGGTATCTCAAGTGTTTTCTTGAACATTCTAAATCCACCTGTACTAAAAGGGATCATTACTCTTCATAATGGCCTACTGTGTTTCAGCACTGTGCGGTAATGCTGCCATCTGTCTTATATTTTTATTGTACAGTTTGGAGCATAGAGAAATAAATTCTCATGATGGAGAATATTTTATACTATGATTTAATTATAGTTTAGTCCAGATATAAGTATAGTTATACTGCCATAGGCATAGTGTTAATAAGAATAATTTACTTAGTTTGCTGCCATAATCATAGTATTAACCAGGATAATTTACTCAGTTTGGGATATATTAAAATATTAACAGGTGTTTTTATTTTGACTTTCCACAATATCCATTTTTTCAGCCAGGGTTTTTGATTGTTAATCCAGATGCAAACAATCCTATATAATAAAAGCGTAATAAGCAAATCGACCAAACGGCAGAACAACCAGTTGACAGGGGGCGGGGCCAACGAGCAGGTGGCGCCAGGCCAGCCAAAGCATATGCCAGTGGGCAGAGGGAGGGGATGGCGATGGGGGGGTGGGGCCAGCCGCTTGTGGCCACAGCCGTCCCCTGATCACCACCTGGTTGCCTCCCGCAGAGGGAGGCCAGACTGCGGTTTAGGCCCACAGGGAGCAGGCTCCCAGCCTGCGAGAGGGCTCAGGTCGGGCTGAGGGATCCCCGCCTCGCTGAGTGCACTAATTTTCGTGCACTGGGCCTCTAGTACCAAATAATCTCCTGATAGAGTATAACTTCCAATAGAACAGTAAATTTTCACTACCATAGCATAAGAGCATATAAGAGTATCTGTATCTGGCACATATTAGGAGCTCATTAAATGTTTAGTTCTTTATGGGCTAGAGGAGAATCTTTATGTTAAAATTGTAAAATTATGTTTCCATAATTTTGCCTGCAGATTGACATTTTAGATATAATTGAGAACTCTATATAGATGAAACACTGTGAAGCCTTTAAAATGAGATAGGTCTGTATATAATGATATGGAAAGTAAGCAAGACATATTAATTTTTTCAAAACAGATGCAGAATAATACGGTATGTATAGTACTATATTCTTTATGCTTATATGACAATTTCTGGAAGGGTACACAAGAAACTGCCTGAGTGGTTACCTCTGAGGAGGGAATTGGAAAACCTTACCTTTTCTTTGTGTGGCTGGAAATGTTTACCCTGAATGTACATAGATAGCTTTAATAATGATCAACAAATGAACTTAAAAATTCCAGATATAGTAGACATATAGGTAGAGTTCTTACTACTTGTCTTTTTACAGAGGTTCATTTGGATTATCAGCAGACATTAGAGAAACCTAATAATATTGGTGACACTGATACCAATAGCTTTAAAACCCGTGTCTTAGAAAACAGTAGTGGTTTTAGTCTTTAAAGGTTTTCTTTGGGGGCGGGGAGAGAGGGTAGTGTGATGGTGTTTATATTATGTTATTTTATAAAGTAATTGATTAATAGAGTAAATATTAAAACTCTACTTAAAATGTGTTAATTTGAAATTAAAAATTAACATTGTATTTAAGGGCTCTCTAGCCAGTTAATTCCTAAAATAAACAGATGTGGAAAAATGTTCTGTGGTAAAATTTTTTAGTAGTGTTATATGCTGGATTATGCTGCATTTCATATTTTTCAATGCTGTAGTTTATATTACTTTTTCAGTACATTAAAACTTATGTGGTGAAACTGAATAATGGCAATGTTTTTATGTCCTTTTATAGTCATTTCTTTTTCATAACCTCCCCCTCTTTTCCTGTTAACTAAACTATAAGCACCTTTCTGTTAATTTATGAAAATTATTGTTGAGATAGCACATTATCACTGATCTGTATGGCACTTGCAGCATGTTAGAAGCAAAGGTCTAAGTAACATAAAACACATCAAAATTCATTAATGTAGTATTGATTATTTTTTGGATAATTAATTTTATTGCAGACCCTTGAAAGAGATAATGAGCTGCAAAGGGAGAAGTTAAAAGAAAATGAAGAAAAGTTCCTTAATCTTCAAAATGAGCATGAGAAAGCATTAAGAACTGGGGGAAAGCATGTAGGTTTATTATATATTTAAATATTTTGAATAGTTGTAGACATTTAAAATAACTGTTAAATGCAAAAGAAATATTGCAAAAATAATGTAGGAATAGTCAGACACATTTTCTTCTTGCACTTATATTTCTAAGAAGTGAATGCTTTTTAAAAAGCTAGATTTAATAAAATTTCCTGTATTGCTTTTATGCATGAAAAACCACACGTGTGTGTGTGTGTGTGTGTAAATTGAATGACTTTCCATATGTAACAAAGAAAAATTAATTTACCTTTTCATAAAATCATTAATAGTATTGTAGTAAATTATTAAAATAAGGAATTATATAAGGTATTATTGTTGGCTGATCTATTTAGCTTTCCTCAGCAGTTTTGTTGAGATGTATTAAAGCCATGTTTAGAACATGTAGATAATAGTTGAGTTCTATAGTGTTAACATTTTATCATAAGACTTGATGTTATAAACATGGCTATTTTCTTAAACCACGTGTTTGCTAATAAACATTAATATTAGTGAAATAGATAATAAAAGTGTAAATTAGTAATATAAAGGTTCACTTTAAAAATTGGTGAACCCTAAAATTGATTTTTCTATTTTAATATCTATTTCATTGCCTTTCAATTCTTTTACAAGAATAACACAATAGAAAGTTACTATTTATGAGTTTATGAAATCTGTATTTTGGGAAAGATTATATTTTAGACTATTATGCCAATTATACTATGTTATTCTAATACTATACTAATCTAGTTTTACTAATATACTTTACATTTAAATACCAACTTGATAAAATTCACTAAAGATGACTTTGTTTAATATAAATTGTTATATATGTAACTCTTGATTTTTCAGTTTCTCACATATAGTGGGTTCCCCTTTCAATTTGATGCTGGTTTCTTTTGCTGTGTAGAAGCTTATTTTGATGTAGTCCCATTTGTTTTTTTTCCTTTGCCCTAGATGTATCCGTAAACATACTGCTATGAGAGATGTCTGAGATTTTGCTACCTATGGTTTCTTCCAGGAATTTTATGGTTTCATGACTTAATTTAAGTATTTTATCCATTTTGTGTTTATTCTTGTGTATGGTATAAGTTGGTGGTCTAGTTTCATTTTTTTGCATGTATGTGCCTAATTTTCCCAAAGTTCCTTTGCCCTAGATGTATCCGTAAACATACTGCTATGAGAGATGTCTGAGATTTTGCTACCTATGGTTTCTTCCAGGAATTTTATGGTTTCATGACTTAATTTAAGTATTTTATCCATTTTGTGTTTATTCTTGTGTATGGTATAAGTTGGTGGTCTAGTTTCATTTTTTTGCATGTATGTGCCTAATTTTCCCAATACCACTTATTATTGAAGAGACAGTCTTGATTCCATTGTATGCTTTTGCTTCCTTTGTCAAATATTAATTGAGCATAATGGCTTGTGTCGATTTCTGGGGTCTCTGTTCTGTTCCATTGACCTATATGCCTGTTCTTGTGCCACTACCAAGCTGTTTTGATTACAGTGGCTTTGTAGTATAACTTGATATCTGGTATTGTGATCCTCCAACTTTGTTCTTTCTCAAGATTGCTGCAGCTATTTGGGGTCTTTTTTGGTTCCATATAAATTTTTGGAGTATTTGTTCTAGATATGTGAAATATGCTGTTGGTATTTTGATAGGGTTTGCATTGAATCTATAGATTGCCTTGGGTAGTATGGACATTTTAATGATGCTAATTCTACAAATTCATGAACATAGTATATTCTTCCACTTGTTATATCTTCCTCTATCTCTTTTTTCAACATCCTGTAGTTTTCCAAGTACAAGTCTTTTACTTCATTGGTTAAGTTTATTCCTAAGTATCTCAATTTTTTTGCAATAAATAAAAGTATCTCAATTTTTTTTGTTACAAAGGGTAAATGGAATTGTTTGTTTTTGTTACTCTTTCTGAGAGTTCATTATTGGTATATACAAAAAAACCCCATCGTTTTTTTAGTGTTGATTTTGAATCCTGCTACATTGCCGAATTCATTTATTAAATAGTTTTTTGGTGGAGTCTTTAGGGTTTTCTATGTACGATATCTAATGTCATCTATGAATGAGAGTTTTATTTCCTCCTTTCCAATTTGAATACCTTTTATTTCTTCTTCTTGTCTGCTGTCTGTGGGAACCCGGCCAGCCCTTTCGTGCCACTGCTTATCAGGATTCTCTCCAGCTAGTCTTCAGTTGATTATTCAGAATTTTTTGTATTTTAGTTGTAATCCTACTTTATCAGCACAATTTAAATGTTTTATACTTTTTAAAAAAAATTTATTTTGTTGAAAGTATTCAGATGTCCCCCATTTTCCCCTCCCCCCTCACCCCCCCCCCCATTGTTTTAAATAATCTGTTTTTACATTAAAGGAACCTTTTCCATTTTACACTAGAATCTTCCAGAAGTAAATACTGAAAACAGTGATATGTCAATGGGAAAATTACAAAACATCATACAGAAATATAATTCTAGGGAAGAAAATAAAGTGAGTTTTTGTTTAGATACTGAATATAGAGAAAATGAGAAAAAGAAAGGACCACTTACAGAAGAAATCATTATAGAAGGTAACCTAAGATTATATTGATATTTTCTAATTTGTATATTGAGCTTTGTAGAGGGATTCAATCATAGCCTTTGCTTTGAGGACCTTGTAATGTAGTTGGAGAAATACATTATTTGTATATATCTTAACAAAACAGGGTCCCTTTGTGCTATTCTTTACAGCAGTGGTTCTCAACCTTCTGGCCCTTTAAATACAGTTCCTCATGTTGTGACCCAATCATAAAATTATTTTCATTGCTACTTCATAACTGTAATGTTGCTACTGTTATGAATCATAATGTAAATATCTGATATGCAGGATGGTCTTAGGCGACCCCTGTGAAAGGGTCGCTCGACCGCCAAAGGGGTCGCGACCCACAGGTTGAGAACCACTGCTTTACAGTCAATATTTTTGGGGGAAAAGTACATTTCTGCCTATTCATCACTTCTTTCCTTTTTGCATTCTGGTTTATGCCTTCACTGTTTTGCTGAGAATGTCCAATGGGCTTCCAATAACCTTCTGATGACCAGACCTAGAGCACGTTACATCAAATGACCTTTCTAAAACTGTTCAAATAATTTACTAATTCATCCAGCTTGAAAAAAAGTTGTTTAAAAACAGTAACATTCAAGTTTTGTCCTTGACTAATTAATTCTTTGAAAGTGTTCAAAACTAGGCCAAACAACCACTTGGTGGAGATGTTGTAGAGAGAATGGTCAGACTAAAAAAGCCCTACAAGCTCTGAACTTTATATTCCAGATTATTGTGATTATACTGAATTTTTGAAATCTATGGTTGAAACCCAAATGAATAAAAATTAATGTCTTAAGTAGACATTTTATACACTTGGCCAAAAGTATTCCAAAAGCAAAATATATTTACAAGGTAGTAAATTAAAAAAGTGATAAGAGTATTGAAGAAGCCAGCTAGCAATTTCTGGATCTAAGTAGTAATAGAAATTAAGAGTATAAATTGTTAGGATAAATTGATTTTATCGAATCAGCTCTGTGTTTATATGGACTTGACTAGAGAAATAAAAACCATTTTTATAATACCCTCAACGTGTCTTGTTTTAAACCAAAAGTACTTTTGTTGTAGTGCATAAAAATTTACTGTGTTCTCATCATGACAGATATACAGCATACTGAAAAAATCTCCAAGAATGAAATTGATCCTAGTGTACCTCAAGATGAGAAGCAAAGCGAAATCTCTATAAGCAAAACCCTCTGCATAGAAAAAGAATTAATTAGTCAAGGACAAACCTTGAATGTTACTGACTTTAGAAAAGCAGCTACTACAGAAATAAAAGACAAGATGGGCTTAGAAAGAGACAATGAATCCACAGAATTTAAATCACCAAATAATTCTTTTTTAGAGGCAGATATATCAATAGAAACAGACAGCATACACCTAGAAAGAACTGAAGGATTCGATGTTCACCGTCCAGATTTACATCTGGAGGTTGAAAGTAACAGAATATCATTTAACAGTGTCTTAAATGAGATGGCTCACAGTACAAATCATAAAAAAGATGTTTCTGAACAACGGTTTAGATTGCTTCCAGAGACTCAAGAAAATGCTACAAAGAAGACAATTACAAACAGTGACCAAGCCAAAATAGATTTGGATTCATCTCTGGATGTAAAAAAGAATCCTGTTCAGTGTCGAAGATACAATTTACATGACTCAAGTAATGTTATATTAGATGATAAACAGTGTAAAATAGAACAAATACAACTGGTAAATAATAAAAGTGAGTGCAGCACACTACCACTTAAACAAACTTCAGATGTTCAGCAAATCTGTAAGGATACTTCAGAGAAGCCTGGACTAACTATTCCCTATGACATTGCAGTTGAATACCCCATTTCATCTGCAGTTTTCAGTGATAATCTTAAAGTATTTCTTAAGAATTCAGATACAAATGTTAATATGATGCCTATATTGGTGAAACCAAACTCAAGCCCTGGGAAAAGAGCTGTATGTAAAAATCTGAATGACTCACAAAGTCCATTTAAGGACTGTTTGGGAGATTTAGAAAACAGTATGAACATTTCTCAACTTCAAGTTAACAATGAGAATATACATACCTCACAAGCCAAAGATATGAAAACTGCTGTTCACATGAAAACTTCCACAGAAATGCAGTTTTCCAGTAAAGAGAGTCACATTGATGAGAATCAGTTAACTGAAGCTACAAAAAATGACCTTTTCCTGTTTGTGGATGTTAATGAAAGACAGCATACATTGTTAAATAATACTGAGAAAACAGAGTCATTAAATGACATCGTTTCAGGAAAAATTTACAGTGAAGGACAGCTGGAAGAATCATGTTCATTTCACATAAAGCCATCTGGAGATTTAGTAAACAGAAGTGGAAAGTCAGCCTTTGATCTTTCAACTTCAGATAAAAAAACTGAGAAAACTCCAGTATATGTGAATTTTTTAGACCCCAGTTCTTGGTCAAAAGTAAATCAAAATGAAAGTCAAACAGTGAGCACTTCAACTTCTGGCATTCCCTTGTTGCTGAATGAGAGACCAATAGGCCCATCAGAAAACGAAAAGATTGTTTCAATGACACTTTGTAAAAATGTCAGGAAGGATATTGGGCCAGGTAAGAAAACAAGCTTTATGTTTACTTTAAAAAATTATTATTTCTGTTTAGTATTCTTGGTAAAAATTCTCCAGATTGTTCAAAATGAAAACATGTTAGTATTTTTTTTTCCTAAACCTAAAATACTCCCTATATAGTAAAAGTAAAGGCTTTATTTAGATGAAGATGGATTTTTAACCTAAATCTGAACCAGTTTTGTCAACATATACTGAGGCACAATTGCATTTTGGAAATTAAAAAAAAAAAAAAAAAAAAAAAAAACCAAGGAACTAAAAAAAAAAAAAAAAAAAAAAAGAACCAAGGAACTGAAAATAAAAAAACAACCACAGGTCCAGGCAACTAATTTTAAATTAGGAACTGCTACTTCATCTGAGGTCTTTACTTTCTAGAGCAAATGCAGAGAAGTTGATAAGGCTTCTTCCACTGCCCATGTTTAACACACACACACACACACACCCAGAAAAATCACCACCACCTCTCTCCCTCAGAACCACCTTTTGTCACTTTCTTCCCTGTTTTCTCCCTCTTTCCTTCATTTTTCTATTTTATCTGTTTCTTCACCAGCACCACAAATCCAGCTTTTGTTTGACAATCTCAAGGTATAACATGATTACATTTCATATCATTGCTATTTGTCATTGAAACACTTTAAATTGAACCCCTTAATATGATGTACCTATATTACTAATACACTAAAATGCTAAATATTTCAGACTATTATTTAAAACTACCACATGAAATAACATAATGTCCAAGTTTTGCTTTAAAAATACACAATAGAAAAATAGGGGGAAAGGTAATGGATGAAAGTCATATGACTTAATATTGATGGATATTGAAGCTGGGTAATGGGTACTTGAGATTCATACTCTGTACTTGGGAGTGCTTGAAATTTTTCATATTAACATGTAGATGCTGTATAAACATAACTTGGAGATAATGTTTAAGAAGTATGATTATGAGGAAAATGTTAACTTTGCCATTTGCAGTCTCACAATCAAAGTTTGCATTGTTAAAGATTTAGATTTTAAGTGACTTCACCTGTTTAAGAATATGAAGTTAGACCCATTAAAAGAAATGCAGATTACAAGGCAGCTTTGCCTGACCCTGACTTTAAAATGCTTCTTTTAAAAGGAAAGAGAAAACTTGGGAGAAAAACTGGGAACTAAAAGCAAAATAAGTACTTCTTGCTTACTAGCATGAATGGAGATATAGGGGGGGAAAAACAGAAAACACCAAAGCACTGGAAAACCTTATTTCACAAAATCTAATTTTTCCTAGTAAAATGTATTAACTTCAGATTCCATTAATCTTATCTGTCAAATGCTGTGGTTAGTCAAATGCTATTAGTCAAGGATCTGGTCTAATGTTGACCATATTATCACAGTTCCTTTCTTCTAAATTAAATTTCAGTGATATAAATTTAAGAATGGAAGGGGAGATGTCTGAAATTCTATAAAAATTCAACTTGTAAAGTCATCAAACTCATAAAAGTTTAAATATTTTTTAAACTTCGAAGTAGGCATGTTTCTCTACATTACTTTTATCTGTTTATTAAATACTAGACAGCCCTTTGTTGGGTATCTTATGGCCAGTTTCTTTTAATCTGAATTCGTAAGATGTTCACTATATAAATGTTTACATGTACAGGCAGTGTAGTAACTGGGGAATAAGGATAACATTTTGTTTTATAAGATGTTTATACCATTTCACTCATTTTAATGTGAAATCAGGTTTTAGAAAGTAGCAATAATAAAACTTTATTTTCTGAAATGAGATGTTTAATGTAAAAGCAAAGTCTATGAAAACTATAAAAAGATCAAAGTAAAAAGAAAATAAAAATTGTTACTTTTTAAATACAAAAGCATAGAATCAGAGTAAAACAAGTTCAGCCACTAAAATGAGTGCCTGGAGAATAAAATTCAGTTGTTGCCATTTCCTCTTTGTCAAGCAGATACTACCAGCATTAACAGAGTTGCTGACACTTTGAATAACTCCACTATCCATCCAGATCCCAAGGGAGAGCCCCGTGAAGAGAGGAATGCAACTGCAAAGACTTCTTGTGATTCTTCTTTTCCCACAGAACATGTAAGTCAATTAAAAATATTGCCAAGCAGACCTTAGTGAGCTAATTCTACAGATATGTGTAGAACTGTATGCATCTGGATGCTTTAAGACCTAACTGATCTCCAAAATAATATCAAGAGGGCAGCATGGCACCATTTTTCACAATTAAGGTTGATGGAAAACAGCAGGAAAAAGTCACAGTGTATAAATCAAATAGATATAATCCAGCCTGTTTGAGGAGGGAGAGTGTGAGGTAGTGTATTATGTACTTCTATATTTTAGTCACCTAAACTTAGGAATAGTGGCACTTGCACATTTATTTAAACTTAAAATACAACTGTTCACAATTTGAGCATTTAAAATTTTATTCTAATTAAAGTTGCCTTAAATAGTCAATGAATAAATTCAGCTATTTTTAGTAGGGCTTAATGTTACTTACATTTTGGGAAACTGTTGTGAAGGAATTTATTTTAAATTATTTCAGTTAGAACACAGAATATGAAAGGATCAAATGTCCATCAATATATATCAAGTATGAATGTAAATATTAAACAAAAGATTTGTAGAGATTATATGGCTCCAGGAGTCTATTTGTCATATAAAAAGCAACTAACTACAGATGACAGGTTTTTTGGTAAAATTTGTAAGTTTCTTATCTTGGTTACAAAACTTTAGTGCAAAAAAGGCTATGTTGTTCAAAGTCTACAAAAAACAATTATAGGTGTAACTGCTAAAAGATAACCTATAAATGTTAGGAAAGGTTACTTATTTAAATAATTGCATAGTGAGATTTTAAAGCCACTATATTGTTTTAAATTTTATAGACACATATTAAGTAACTTTCTCTTCAGCACATCGAAGATGAAAATTACAGTATTGACACCTTAACATATAACAGGTTTTCACAATAAATTTCATTTTTCTTTTTAAGTATGAGAGACACTCACTGAGATAGTATAAACTTTTCTTCTGGGAGGGTTAAAACTAAAATCAGGATTCATCTTTTCACCATGGTGTCAGCAGAAATCATTTCAGCTTTGATGTGTACAAGTGTGTATCTTTGAAATATGGTAAATCTGGCATTGGGAAATCCTTGGTCAACTAGGTAAGTTAGTGAAATCAATGCAAAAAGGAAAAGCTAGATACCAATTTCAAACTCGGTTGAATACTTAACATCTATACTAATAATAGCAGAATATGCAAATTGTTCAGGACAGGGGTGGAGCCATGGTGGAGAGCTCTCAGTACGCCTGCGCTGGGGGTCCGAAGGGCATGGAGAGGAAGGGAGAGCAGATAGGGAGTTAGGGCGATCAGTCCAGGAGGGGAGAGCAGATAGGCAGTTAGGGCAATCAGGCCAGGAAGGGAGAGCAGATAGGCAGTTAGGGCGATCAGGCCAGGAGGGGAGAGCAGATAGGCAGTTAGGGCGATCAGGCAGGCAGGGGAGCACTTAGGAGCATCAGGCAGGTGAGCGGTTAGGAGCAAGTGGTTCCAGATTGTGAGGGATCCTGGATTGGAGAGGGTACAGGCCAGACTGAGGGACCCCCGCCTACCATGCATGAATTTTGTGCACTGGACCTCTAATTTATTGTAATTGTCCTTTTTCAAAGGTATAATGGGAATTTCATGTCTCCCTTTCAAGCCCATTTTTATAATTAACCCAGTAGTTCCATTCTTTGTCTAATCCTAATGCTTTTCTTGCAATTAATGTTTTTAAGAATTTATAGAATTAAAGCTTTTTCAAAAAAATATTCCCACAACAGTCCTGTAAGGCACATCTATTTTACAAATGAGGAAGCAGTGACACAAATGTGAAATAATTCCAAAGCACTGAGAGACACTACCTGTGGCAGACTTAAAGTAGGTCTCTTGGCTCTTAGTCAAATGCTATCTACTTTCTCAACTTTCATAGTAAAAAAAAATGTTTCTTCTCAAAATGCTAGTGCATGTAAAAAAAAAAAAATAAAACTCAGCTCACTGGCTAAAGAGATATTTTCTAAATTTTACTAGGTGTCAAGCACTATGCTAAGTACCATTGTCCCCCCTGAAGCTTGATTACCAATCAACATCTAATGTGGGACACATTTAAAAGCAGACCTATTCTTTTGCCTAGACGACTGAAAATGCTGTTATTCTTGCATTAAACCAGACAAATCTAGTCTCTTTATGAAGCCTGTTTACTTGCTCCTTAATATTTTACACTTTTCTAAATAGGGCTGTCAGGTGACAACTGGTGGGCCAAATGCAGCCCCCACCCCCTCATTTTAGTAAGTACAATTTTATTAGAGCACAGCCACACCCATTAACTATTGTCTATGGCTACTTTTGTGTTCAATGACAATTAGGCAGTTGCGAGGGAGGCCCCTTGGCCCACAAAGCCGTTTGCCTATTCTTGTTCTAAATGAAGACAAATTAATTTTATGAAGACTTATAGCCAGAAAGGGAATAAAAGTTATTCATATTTTTCAACGTATTTTTATGCACTCTAGCCACACCAATCCTGTAAAATTTTAGGTATATATTACGAGCTAATCCCCCTTTTTTGTACTTTGGAGAGGGTTAGGTTAGTAGCCTGCTGCAATCTTGGTCATACCTAGGAATGAGGATGGGAAAGAGGGGCCAGCATAAACAAAGAAAGCCATTCATTTTATACAATGAATTATGTTCATTGAAGTTAAATTTTAAAATGCAACCCCAGGACTAGTATCAGATCTTTGAGTCAGGCAGAAAGAGGAAGTATTTTTAAAAGGAGATAGGAAAGAGCAATGATATGTGGCTACATATAGAACTGGAATTACTCTAGGCTGCAAAACCCTAGTTAAGCTAAGTAAGACAAGTTTTGTTAAAATCTCTCTACAGGGAATCCCTGCTTCCTCCCCTCCCACTAAGTAGCTAGTTTAGGGAAGAAACTAAAGCATTTATGTGTAAATGTCTCTCTCCTTTCCATCATCGAGATAAAAAGTCAAAGAATCAGAATTTTGGAAAATGGGCTGATTTGCACTTGATGTCAAATGCAACAAAATGCATCAAGTATTTTGATGGCAAAACAGGACCATTAAATCACAAGGCATCAATCATTTAACTTCAAAATCAGCAGCAACCTAGATTTAGATTTGATATCTTTCTATGTATCAGTATTGCATGGGTGACTGTGTACATTCATTTTGGCTCTGTAAGCTAAATGAAGTGTGGTGAACTTACTTATATGCGAGACATTATCAGAAATACACATTTACCCATTTTTTTCTGTTACCACTTACTCTTTTTTAAAGAATCCTTACTGAAGGACATACTTTGATTTTAGAGAGTGAAACATCAGTGTGCAAGTGAATGTCAATTAGTTGCCTACTGAACTAGCCCTGACCAGGAATCAAACCCACAACCTGAGTACCCGCTCTGACTGGGAATCAAACCCCGTGACCTTTTGGTGTATAGGACATTGCTCTGAGTCATACCAGCCAGGGCACCAGTTACTTTTTACAATAGCATTTTGTATCTAAAAGGAGCTGATGAGAAAACTAAGGCTCACAAAAGTTAAATAATTTGCTTATTGTCCTGGCAGTTCTTGACAATACTTTTGTTTTCATCTGTTATTTTATAAGAACATAGGCAATCATATGAATACAGTATCATCATAAGGATCAGAGGCTAGGACTTTGAGGGGACAGGTGGCTAACTAGAATTCTCAGGAGCCAAGAAGAGCAGTCCTGAGGGAACTGAGATTAAATGTAAATAGTTAAGAGCCTATAAAAAATAATTACTATGGCCCTAACCAGTTTGGCTCAGTGGATAGAGCGTCGGCCTGCGGACTGAGAGGTCCCAGGTTTGATTCCAGTCAAGGGCATGTACCTTGATTGCAGGCAAATCCCCAGTAGGGGGTGTGCAGGAGGCAGCTGATCAATGTTTCTCGATGTTTCTAACTCTCTATCCCTCTCCCTTCCTCTCTGTAAAAAACCAATAAAATATATTTAAAAAAAATAATTACTATATAATCTCACTTGAAAATGACAATGTTTTGAATATGCCACTTTAATCAGTGCAATTGGAAAAGATTTTAATGTAAAGCAGTATTCAAAGATCATCAAAGATTTATGAGCAAATGGTATTCATCATAGCCTAATGTATAAAAATAAATTTTTCAAAAACTTAAATGTTCAACAATATATTAAACTAGAGGCCTGGTGCACAAAATTCATTCATGGGGGGGGGGGGATCCCTCAGTCCAGCCTGCACCCTCTCCAATCCAGGAGCCCTAGGGGGATGTCTGACTGCCCATTTAGGCCTGATCCCATAGGCCCATAGGGATTGGGCCTAAACCAGCAGTCGGACATCCCTCTCGCAATCCGGGACCACTGGCTCCTAACTGCTCACCTTCCCACCCGCCTGATCACCCTAACTGCTCTCCCCTGCTGGCCTGATCACCCCTAACTGCCTCTGCCTTGGCCCCGCCACCATGGCTTTGTCTGGAAGATGTCTGGTCTAATTAGCATTATTACCCTTTTATTAGTATAAATTATGGAACATGGAATAAAATGGATCCATGTTCTTAACAGACCTTAACACAGGGAAATGCTAAAAATGTTTTTAATACAGCGTAGAAAATGTGTGATTTAAATTTTCAGATAGTGTATTTATACAGAAGGGACCAGAATATTTACATCAAATTGTTTAATGGTGGTTGGAATCTTGGGTAATTTTAATGTGGTTCTTATCCTATTCCCTATTCTAAATTATAACATTCCCTTTTAACAATAAGTTTTATCTGGTAATCTAAGACCATCAAAGGTTTTTTTTCAAGAAATTAAATTTATTTGACAGGGATAAGTTGAAACAAATATTCAATTAAGAGATAAATTACAACACATGCATAAAAGGGAATTATTTTGCAGCCCCCTACAATAGCTTGAGAAATTTTAATGACCTAGGAAAGCAGCTCAGTGGGAAAAACAAAGATATAAAATTCTAGAAAGTTATTGATTATACTAAAAATAGAAAAAAAGTCTAGTGCAAATGGTACCAAAATGTTGACAAGTCTCTGGATAGTGGTTTACTACTGATTTTAGTTACTTTATACTTTTTTCTATTTTCCAAATTTCCAGTATTTTATTATCAGGAAAAAAAATAGAAATGAACATTTTTAGCACAATATTATAAGCATGACCCAATGTAGTGCTTTGGAAAACATGCCAACTTCCAAATACTGCATTGCTCTTTCCTGTGTCTCCAAAAATGGCCCTCTGAAGCATGAGAGGAAACATGAAGTAAAAAGCAGTTTTTAAATGGTAGTTTACTTCTGTTAGCATTTTAAAATTTACCCTTGTTTTGATAGAAGATACAAAACATAGACATGTTTGGGAAAGGAAGGGAGTAGAAGACAAAACAGATTTTTATCTGCCAGTTTTAAATATCTTTTCTTTCAATGTAAGCTCAAGACCTTTTAGAAAATGTTTGTGGTATTCCTGGAATATATTAAGAGATCTTGAAAAGCTACTACATAAGCCTACAAATTCACATTTTATAGTTTCTTGATGCCAAAATGTAGTAGTTGGGGAAAAGCCAAGAAAATGGTGGCTTTATCATATGCTCATAATTCCAAAAGCTTAATGATATTCTTTAAACTTATTTGTTGATGCGTGTTTAGAAAATGAGTAATAACTTCAGTGGTAAAACAAGTTTGGTCTTTCCTAGGTGAAAACACAGTCTCTGAAATCAAATCTACAAAGCCATTCTCAGGCTCTCAAGATTAAAGATACTACTAATTTAACTATGTCTTCTTTTGGTGAAGGTGGCTGGCAGAGCCTGATAACAAATCAAATAAAAGAAAGTGAAAAGTTCCTAAGCTTAGAGAATGACAACCAATCTAAAAAAAGAAAAGCAGAAGAGTTGTTGACAAAAACAGATTAATACTTTCAGTGGTAAATTAGAGTACTGATGTAGTTTCAATTACAGCAAAATGACTTATATCTAAAGCTTCAGATGTATTCACTTTTCCAATTTCTTCTGATGTAATGAAGCTGTATTACTGCTATGTTTTTGCCCATAAAATGCTTCAGTTAAGATAGCTGAGTTAAGATTGCAAAGTTTGCTATTAGCACCTAATTCCCCTTAAATTGGTCTTTCCTCCATATACCTTTCATCAAAGCTCCTGCTGCACCTTCAAGACCCTTCCTTAATAGAACACAACTTACATATTATTCAAGATAGACACAGTGAGACCCTTCGTAATTTATTACATTGTATCCTCTGAAGATTGTAACTTCTTTTGAACTTGAGACAATAAATGTTCAGACTGTTGTCCAATTTCAGCTTAAAATGTTTTACTATCATTTAGATGTTTCCCCAAAAGAAAAATATTTATAGCATAAAAATTCAGGTATCAGAAAGACTCAAAAGGCTGTTTTTCACTTTGTTCAAGTTTTGTTTCCAGGCATTAAGTGTGTCATACAGTTGTTGCCATTGTTGTTTTCCAAATGTCCGATGTGTGCTATGACTGAAAAATTAAAAGTCATTAGTCAACCTTTATCCTCTTGTATTCTTTTATAATACTACATACTTGAATCTAGTCAAAAGCAAGGTTAAATATACATAAAAGACAATTTCAAATTGTAAGAGAATTAGCAGCTTATTTTTAAAAAAATTCTTTATCATATTGATCCTGAACCTTCTATTTTCCTGAACTACATAAAACAGACACAAAAGTCATTAGTATTCTAGCCAATGCTGAGCCATTAAATGAAATGTGCTGGAAAATAGGACTTTCATTAAATAAGCTAATCAATTCAGTCTGAACTTTAATAAAATTATGATAAATAGCAACTATTTAACTACAGTCAATTGATAAGAACATCACCTTAGTTCTCTAAACATTTAAGTGAAATAATCAGAACAAACTAAATTGTTCTACAAAATGCTGCAAAGTATTAAGTGTCTTACCTGACAACTACTTTTCGCTGGGTCTGATCAATTTTGCAGTAGACCATTTTTGTTTTCACGGCTGAAAAAAGACATTTTACATGACATGTTATATGGAAAATGCCGAAGAAAAACAGCTTAAAGTATGAAACTATGACCAAGCAAGCCATAATAAAACTTGACAGTTTTCTAATATGATTTTATAAGCTGGCTCTTTGAATCTAATAAACAGCAATATGATGCAACTAAGAGGGAGATTATGCATTTATTTATCCGATGGTTGCTGGGCTAATCCATACCAAATATCATATAGTGTTCTTTTTAATACATATATATGTTTTATTGATTTTTAGAGAGGGAGGGAGAGAAACATCGATGTGAGAGCACAACACTGATCGGCTGCCTCCGGCATGCCTCCCCTCCCCCAGTTTTCATCAAGAATTCTAGATGTTCTCCTCTACAATCACACCTTAGGGTAGGGGTCCTCAAACTACGGCCCGCAGGCCACATGCAAATACAAATATTGTATTTGTTCCCGTTTTATTTTTTTACTTCAAAATAAGATATGTGCAGTGTGCATAGGAATTTGTTCATAGTTTTTTTTTAAACTATAGTCCGGCCCTCCAACGGTCTGAGGGACAGTGAACTGGCCCCCTGTTTAAAAAGTTTGAGGACCCCTGCCTTAGGGGGTTGAAGGGGAAGATTTCCTAATTAGGTATTTCTTTATAAGTATGTTTAAGAATTAGAGCATTAGAAACTATGTGAATAGTTCTTTATTTTATTAATTGTATAATCCCCCAAACTTTCAAATTTAAAAGGCTCAGGAAAAAAAGAAAAAATTCTGTTACTTTATAATACCAATATTGGGGAAGAAAGTCCTGTTTCTAGGCCAATCATAAAAAACTGATAATGGTTAACATCTGCAGGACATTTAATACATGCCAGGCACTGGGCTAAGTGCTTTACCTGCATTAATTCATTTAATCCTCAGAACTACAAATTACTCCTATATTCCTATTTCATAGAGGAAGACAGACCTGGTCTCAAACCCAGGTCTGATATAAAAATCTAGGCTCTTAACCACCCTATGGTATACCACCTAAAGGTTTTTGTTCTATATAAGTTTAAGGAATAGAACAAACACCAAAAACCACATAGCAATTTTTATTTCCATTGAATTTTCACTCTACAACAATTACAATCTGCTAATCTACTAAAATACACATTTGTTACAAAAGAATCTAGCTTTGTTAGCATATGGCTCAGCTTCAAGATAAAAAATCTTATACTGCATGGGTAAAAGACAAATAGAAAAAAAAAGTTCTAATTGCCTTACCATCAATAACAAACGCTTCAACATCATCAGCTCCAATCTGAAGTTCCTGTTGCATTGTATCAAAAGAAATTTCTTTATTTTCCACTGCCATTCCCATAAAAGTAAGTAGTCTCATTTTTGCCATATTCTGTTCATGTAATAGTCCTGAATAACAACAAAATAGTGAAGTTGAATAGGTATTAATGCTAATAGAAGACCAATTACAACTCTTGTGTCAAACTGTAGAGTCACTGTGTTTGAGCACTTTATATATAGAGAAATTTTGACAAAGCTTATATTTTCAAATCATAAACTGACCCCATAATTAAATTATGGAGTATTTAAAATTATTTTTCTAGAACTACATTTATTACTATAGGTAATAGACAAAGTTAATAAGACTGGGCTATAAAATGTTTTTAGGCCCTAAAGTTTTTTTACATCCTAACTTATACACTTAAGGAGATAAAATGTACAAAATCCATTTCATAAGGAAAAATTTTATATAAATGAATTACTTATGCTTATTTTTACTAACAGGTCCCTTGTTTAAACGGAGGACTCCTTATCTACTTATACCTTGTTCTGTGTTTTATTAGGAAACATGAAGTTTTAAAACATTTTCATACACATTCAGTCATGAAAACATTCCATTTCCTGTCTGGTCACTTTGGATTTAATATTTAAAAGTTAAAATGCCCATCCACTGTGGCTCAGAGGTTGAGCATTGACGCATATAAACCAGGAGGTTACAGATTCCTGGTCAGGGCACATGCCCGGGTTGCAGGCTTGATGCCCAGTAGGTGGTGTGCAGGAGATAGATGATTCCCTCTCCTCATTGATGTTTCTCTCTCCCTTCCTCTCGTAAATCAATAGAAATATATATTTTTTATATAAATGTAAAAGTGTGTTTATCACTTTACATTTACAGACTAAGATGATTAATACTAGAAAAAACTAAACAGTATCATTAACATACTTGTTCTTTACAAAGCCTAAATAGAAAACTGTATAGATAATTCAAATTTTTGCCTTGCAATTTTTAAACGCAACATACTGTTTTACTCATATCAAAAACAAACTGTTAGACCCTTTTAAAAGGAAACTTAACAAATTATCAGGCCCTGCTCCTTTCACTTTAAAAAAAACAATAAAATTGAGGAGTAAAGAAGTGAAATGCTTTACTTACAGTCACAAAGTGGCCTCGAAAATAGGTTCATTTATAAAATAAATAACTAGAAATATAAATATTTACAAATCCTGAATATCCAAGTGTTTACCCGTCTCTACATGGAAACTGAATTACAACATATACACTTGATTTGATGCTAACTTCTCAATTATAAAAACAAGTTTCTAAAATTAATACAGAATTACATGCCCCTTTTCTCTGAGCTTTCAAATTTGGTAATCTCACCAAGATCATTACCCTTTTGTATTTAAGAGCCTCAAGTTTGTATTGTTTAAAAAGTTCCCTCTAAGCACTCCACAAATAAATTTGAAATATATAACATTTATTATTAGCAGGTGACTAGGAAAGCCCATTAATATAGCACATGTCTGTTAATTAACTATAATTATGATGCAGGCTTTCTATCTGGCACAGATTCAACAAAAACACGATCATCATAACTCAGATGAATGAGATACCCAAGTAAGTATTGCTAACCAGTTTAATGGAAATCTACAAGCATCAAAAAATCAATTAGTGCACATTAATCCTAATTAACAAATGAAAATTAGATGCTGATTAACTTTCTGAAGCAAGAAGGTAGCAACTGGATAACACCAGATTACATGTGAACATGTTAGGGCAATTCAGATGACACAAGATAATTCTACTGTTGGCCCAAACTGCCAGTTAATAAATCCCGCCTGGTCACTTTGGATTTAATATTTAAAAGTCAAAACTGTATGCCCAGCCAGTGTGGCTCAGAGGTTGATAAACTGTTGCCATCTGTGGAATCTAGACATTTGTAACCAAACTTTAAGCTGTAATAAACATCTAATAATATATCTATCTAAAACTATACATTCAAGATGTTTTCCGCAAAGCATCTTTTACAAACAAATTTCTAATAAAAGACTGCTAATTTGCATGGATGTTAAAGAAACAAAAGGCAAAACAAAATTTGATTTACAGGAATACTATGTTTCTCCTGTTACAGAGAACAAACACTAAAGATCTTTCTCAAGAAAATTTCTTAGCATTCCCAGTTCTGTGAGCATACATAATCCCTTTTAATGTTAAAATAATAAAAACTCCTCAAATTTCTAAGGTATAATTTAAAATACTCTTAAAATAAAAATCTACTGCTATAGTTATAAGCTTACCATAAATCAAAAAACATATCAAAGGAATGAACATTATTTCTAAAATAAATTATGTAAAACCATTATATGTCATACAAGGGGGAATCTATGTTTAAAAACATTTCAAATGGATGTTTAAAGTCACTACATCAAAAGAAATCACCAAACCTAAAGCCTTTAGGACTTTTGCTCTCAAAAGCAAGCTATTAAGCCAGTGAAGTATGAGTTGAAGACTTGTTAGGAAGCTGTGCTTTATTTCATGAAAAGTAGAACATCACCTTCAAAGAAGTCATAGTGTTCTGTGTCATTTCTATTTTAAAGTTATAAAAAAAAAATCTAATTTTATGGAAACATTTATTCATTACTAATATGTCAAAACCTTAATGCAGTAATAAAAAAATGTGCATCACTGAGCAATTTCTGCATTGTCACTGACCCCTGCCTTAAAATGCTGCAATATAAAAAACGTAATTTTAATGCATTGCAATAGCTTATGAACCAGTGCTCCTTTGAAACAGTCAATTACACATCAATGGGGGAGTGTCAAAGTGTTAATTACTACTCCTTTTTCCTTGGTGAGTAAATAAAGAGGTTGCTGACATTAACATTCCATCACATAGCTTCATGCCACAAAACAAATTAACTGGGACAGAATGTGGTTTTCTGGGTCTAGTGCACCTGGCAAAGCATTCTACACAAACACACTCGCATCTACTTTATCTTGGTGTATTTCAAATGCCTTGTTATGTTCAGAATAATTCAGTCTTGCCCAATGCCGAAGTTTACAGGTGACAGGAATGAATGATTACTATATTGAGGACTAACAGTATAATCAAGTTAGATTATAAATGCATTCTTTACCTATGTCTCAAACAACCAAGAAGACTAACAAATAAATTTTAATATGAAAAATACATAATGTATTTTGATTATTACCTAGTAGGAAAACAAAGCACCTTGGTTTCATAGTTGACTTCATTCTCTTAGAACAACTTAAACTTGTTAGACTATAGATTTTCTAATTTTTCATTTCGTAATTTTAGTATGTTAAAGACGTGCTCTGGAAGGAAAATACTGAATCTATATGGAGCTTGCTCAATGAGGACAGTGAGAGTCAATTCAAGTTGGTGAACATTTACTGAGCTCTGATGCCCTAGAACAGCGGTTCTCAACCCCTTTGGGGGTCAAATGACCCTTTCACAGGGGTCGCCTAAGACCATCGGAAAACACATATATAATTACATATTGTTTTTGTGATTAATCACTATGCTTTAATTATGTTCAATTTGTAACAATGAAATTGGGGGTCACAACATGAGGAACTGTATTAAAGGGTCGCAGCATTAGGAAGGTTGAGAACCATTGCCCTAGAAAGACAAAGGCAAAATCATAAAGCTAATACTTTGCTGTCTTCAACAAACTGTAGTTAGGAAAGTTTCTCCTATCATGTAAAATCACAAATCCATTTCTAATCCCATCTACAGCTTTACTTAGATATGCTTATCAATACCATATATTTCTGTAATTTGTTAATTTGGGGTTAGGGTTTTGCACCAATATAAAAGTGTATCATAGAGAGAAAAATCTATTTGTTGCAATTACGTGAATCTGGCTTTTTTAAAAAAAGCAACAAAAATATAAATCACCATGCATATGAATAAGGAGTAAGGTCCTTTACAAAGAAACAGTAGTTTCATGCTCTTTCCATCACGAATGCTTTTGGTTTCTGATTCCCAATTCATTCTAAGTAATATTTTAAACTGCCTATATTTGTTGCTATCCATCATACACCACTGGTAGGCCAAAATCATATTTGCTGGATCTCACAGTACAGAACAGTTTTAGAATAGTACATTCCCATCTCCCTATACCCCTCCAAAGAACACACCCCAAAACTTACCAAGTGAATCTATGAAGTCTTTATTATTCTGATAAAACTTGACATATGATGCCAATTTAGCATTCACAAAAATGGTTAAAAGCTATACAGAGACAAAAAAAAATAAAGATACAATATTCAATACAGAATATTTATAGCTCAAAGTACTTTTAAAGACACTAACTCCCAGTAATATATTTCTTTCAGTGCAGACATTTCAATTAAGTTTGATCAAATTACCATCTAAACCATCTATACCAGGGGTGGGCAAACTTTTTGACTCGAGGGCCACAATGGGTTCTTAAACTGGACCGGAGGGCCGGAACAAAAGCATGGATGGAGTGTTTGTGTGAACTAATATAAATTCAAAGTAAACATCATTAAAAAAAAGGGTGGGCTGGCCCCACCCCCAAGCAAGCAGTTAGGGGCAATCAGGCAGGCAGGCAGAGTGATTAGGGGTGATCAGGTAGGCAGGCCAGCAGTTAGGGGCGATCAGGTAGGCAGACGGCCCCTTGCAGGGCTGGCCCTGGCCCCCAGCAAAAGAAAGAGGGAGGCCCAGGCCAGCCAAGCCATTGCACCCCAGCCTGTCGCCTGCAGAGGGAGGCCACTGGTGGCAAGGGAGGGGGGGCAGCGCTGCACAGATGGCAAGCAGTGGCAGCAGGGGGGGTGGGCCCAGCTGCCTGCAACTGGAAGAAGGAAAGCCCTGCTAGGCCCTGATCTCAGGCCAGCCCTAGGGACCCTACCCGAGGGGTCCCGGATTGTTAGAGGGTGCAGGCCGGGCTGAGGGACCCTCCTGAGTGCACGAATTTTTGTGTACCGGGCCTCTAGTTTGTTTAATAAAAGACTCACTTAGATAAATCAGTAAATACAGTGAGCTCTAAAGATGGTGGTAATGGCATAGTACAAATGGAAAATAACCCAAAACATATTTATACTTGTACTTGAAAAGGATATTAATGTGTTTTAAAATATTGGATTGATTTTATTAACTGGGCTAGCTGACACTATATAGTAAAAAGAAATTTCTATTATTTAGGTTCATAATGGCCAGGCAAGTGAGAAGATGAAGAAAAGGGAAAAAGAACAGAACTGTGTTCAGTAGTTAGAGAAAAGCTAATCCTAAATTTCAGTCTGTTCCTGATACAAAAAGAATAACTAGTTCTCTTTCCAGATCTATAGATATGTTCACGAATACAAAGTAAGAGAGTTCTTTTATACAAAGAAAGAGAATTCTGCTTTAGTATGTTAAATTTAGGAAAATATTGTATTTTTCACATTAAGAATAAACTACTTACATCATGAATAAGCTCGCCTTCCAAAAACTTGACTGGTTTTAAAGTGAGAAGATGGTCAAAAAGAAATGCATTTGGATCTTTCAATGCTCGTACAATACACCTTAATTAGAAAACAAAAATCCAAGCTCAGTCTTGAAATTCAGGTATGTCTCACTGAGTTTGCAGGATGCAATACATTTAATTCAGTAAAATGTCCAAAAATTCAATATATAAAGCATAAGAAAAGTTGTAAGATTGGGGTTAAAACAGGCCAATCAATCTACACATCAAGTACATCTGTTTAACAAAATAATAAATAGTTGGAGACAAAAACATAGCTGGAAAGTACCACAAAGTAATGAAAGAATAAAACAGCTGCAGCATCTTACCATATGCCAGACACTAAGGTAAGGATAATTCAATGAATCCTCATAATACCCTGAGACATATAGTCTTAACATGCCCATCTTATGAATGACAAAACAGGCTCAGAAAGAGCTCGCCCAGTAAGGGCTAATTAAGTGTTGGAGCAGGCAGTCTAACCTCAAAGATATTTTCCACTAACTACCCTTTCAACCAACACATATCATGTATACAGGTCCTGTGTGAAGCCAATAACCCTGTAAGTTATCATAATTTGTTTCATAAATTTGAAAAGCTGATTTTGTTCTTATTGCTACTAAGCAGACTTACGACTATTTGAAACCATTATTATTATCGGGAATAGGCTAAGCTAATTTTTAGCAAGCCACCAACTTTTCCTCATCTACACACCTTCGTAAGTTAAAATTGACCTATGATTAGATTCTATTTTTCAGGTTGATATTTTCAACCCCATATCAGCAATTTCCCAAACCGCATGTAGCCAGTTCATATACAATTTGTGGTTCTTCCAATATCAAATTTTCAACTTTAGTATCTCTATTATAATCACCACAGAGCACACAGTATCAAATGGCTTTGGATCATTGGCAAGTGTAAACATGATTTCAGTTATATGATTGAATACTGTAACTCATCTCTCAGCTGCTGATAGTCATCATTAGAACAATGTATTTTTAACATTACCTGTGGGCATCAACTCGGGCCTGGGAAGCATTGTCTTCTGTGTAACTTCCTAGCAATTCTACCATGACTTTCGAAGCGGCATCACTAAAAAGAAATATTGCTTTAAGAATTTCACAATATCTCATTGCTATTCATTCATTAAAAAAATTTACTATGCCAAGTACTGTGTCAATGATACATACAATGCTGACCAAGAGCGACAAGGTCCTGCTCTATGGGAAAAGTCATGGCACTTTCTAGTAGGAAAGGCAGACAATAAGCAAGCATGTGCCATGAAGGAAATAAACGGTGATTAACAGAGTCATCATCATGACAGAGTGAGATGATGCCTTTATTTATCCCCTTAAAGTTATAAGTCAGGCAACCACAATTCAACAAAGAATCCCTTGCTTAACACACAAGCACGTCTGATATACATGCATTGAGACATCTGATGGTAGGCATATCAGAAGGAGCAGGGGTGGTGGAACAGGGGGAAGGACAGACACGGGTCACAGACAGTCTGGCACCTGCCCAGCCCCAGCTGATGTGGTAGTGGTGAAGGAGTTGGGCTGCAGCCCCCACAGGGCAGCCCAGAGGGTAGGAGGGACAAAAGCAACATTCTGGCCTGAATATCCAGCGCCCATTGTGGCTAAACCTGGTGATGGGGGCAGAGATGGGGTACAGCAGTGTGGCAGCTGCAAAATGGTGGCCACCATTAGTAGCAAGAAGGCCAACTCACAGAATCACACCACCACCCCCGGCCACCCCTCACCGGTAGAACCTATAGAGGCAGCAGGAATGCCACCGACAGCACAAAGCAGCTGGTACCTTCGGGTTACAAGGAGGCAGCACTGGGAAGTCGCAGGCTTGAAGCCCCATTGCCCACCACAAGGGTGGTGCACTGAGAATGAAGGGACCTGGACATAAAGGGGCATTTTCCAGAACTAAGGCAACACCCTCTCAACAAGATCCGAGAGGTAAGAGTAAACAAAAACTGGTGCTATCGCACTATCTACTGGAAAACAAATGAAAGACCACTACTTATCAATCCACTAGACCAGTGGTTCTCAACCTTCCTAATGCCGTGACCCTTTAATACAGTTTCTCATATTGTGGTGACCCCCAACCATAAAATTATTTTCGTTGCTACTTCATAACTGTAATTTTGCTACTGTTATGAATCGTAATGTAATTATCTGATATGCAGGATGTATTTTCATTGTTACAAATTGAACATAATTAAAGCACAGTGATTAATCACAAAAACAATATGTAATTATATGTGTTTTCCAATGGTCTTAGGCGACCCTGTGAAAGGGTCGTTCGACCCCCAAAGGGATCGACCCACAGGTTAAGAACCGCTGCACTAGAGCAAAACAATAATTAGAAGAGTTCACTACCTCAAATGCCCAAGCAGAGAAACAATCCATCAAGTACCATGAATAACCAAGGTAACAAGGTAGCTCATAAAGAAAATGAAGTCTCCAGAAACCAAACTCCTAAGACAAGGAAGACTGATTTAAATGACAGAGAATTCAAGATTGCAATTATGAAAAAAATAACAAAACAAAAAAACTCCAGAAGATGCAAGAAAACTCAAAAAGGCAGTTTAATGAAATCAGGAATAAAATCAATAGGAAAAAGGAACACTTCGCCAAAAAGGTTGAAACTATAAAAAAAAATTTCTGAAACTAAAAACCTCAATAAATGAGATGAAGAATGCATTGGAGAACGCTAGAAACAGAGAAGACTAGACGGAAGAATTAGTGAGCTTGAAGACAGAAATCTAGAAATGACTCAGGCGGAAGAGAACTTAGAGTTTTAAAAAATGAAAGAACTCCACAAGAACTATCTGACTCCATTAGAAATAGCAACGTAAGAATAATGGGTATACCAGGAAGAGAAGAGAGGGAGAAGTAAACAGTGAGCCTATTAAAATAATTGATGAGAACTTCCCAAGCCTATGGAAAGAGCTGGACCCTCAAGTTAAAAAAGCTAAGAGAACAACTAATTACTATTAATTCAAAAAGACCTTTCCTAAGACACATTATATTAAAACTGTCAAAGAGCCGGTGGGTTTGATTCCTGGTTAGGGCATATGCCTGGGTTGTGGGCTTGATCCCCAGTAAGGGCATGCAGGAAGTTGCCAATCAGATCCTTGTCGCTCATCGATGTTTCTATCTCTCAATTCCTCTACCTCCCTTTCTCTCTAAAAATCAATAAAAATATTTAAAAACAAAACACTAAACTGAATACTGACTACTTACTGCATATGTAAAAGAATAAATATTTTGGAAATGAAGTTTGCTAGGTAGGATGGATACAACCTTTAGGAACCCAAGATCTTGCAGAAACTCAATAGGTATTTTAAAATTTGCAGTTATCTTTAATAAGTAACATTTACAAAAACAGATTTATAGCAACTCCAGAGAACAAAGGAGAGCAAATTCATTTACCTTTAAAAATCAGCCCTCAACTACTCATTTTGCCTGTAAGTTTTAAGACATTAACTGTGAATACCTTTTCTTACAATCCACAAGTGCCTCATAAAGTAGCCTTAAAAGGGTGTGTTTTTTCTCAGTGGTAAGGTTCCAGTCAGAAATCCATTTTCTAACCTATGATGAGATTGATAAAGGGAGATTTAGTGATATAGCTGAATATATTTTCACAATTTAAAATATAACATTTAGAAAACACATATTTGCTTTGATTATAATATAAAACTACACTTATAAGCAAAACAAGTATTCCACATAATAACTCACCTGATCCAGCTCAGTTGGAATATATTGGATGGCCCCACAAGATGCTGCCACTTTAATGAGGCTACAATATACTGTATATCTTACAGGAGTATTCTTATCCATCCCATGGAAAAGGTTGCTTAGCCTGGTTAACAAACAAATAATAAAAAGTTTGAGATCAGTAACTACAGTGATTAAGTTGAGAATATCTGCCCTCACAACAAATGTGAGACAGACACTATTAGTAACTTCACATTAAAGGAGGGACCTGAGGCACAGAAAGGTTAAGTGACTTGTCTAAGGTCACACAACTTATAAAAGCCACAGCTGACAGTCAAGTTTCAGAATTCTTGCTTTTAACCATCAAATGACAATGACATGAAAAGAGCCCCTGGAAAAACCGAGCCTTTTTCAGTTTTTAACTTACAACTGCAGTCTCAGAGATGGGCGTTCACCTTCCCGAAATTTGACCAGCTTTTCACAGAGGTTTTCAATCAGAGCTTCTTGCTTTTCTGGCTCCAAGATCAACAGGAGGGATACCACGCTGTTCATCACACTTTCAACATCTATACATGACATGGCGTAGATAATACAACAGTGATACTATGATACTTAATGTATCTGAATTTCCAGTATTCAAAGACCATTAAACATAAAACACTTGTATATTTTATTAAAGAAATAAATTATTACCTAAGATTTGGTTTTCAATCAATAAAAAAGAAGATTGATTTACGTGGCTACATATACGGTTTCAATTTTCACTGGCAAGATAGTCAATCGTGGAAGTAATTGGTTAGGTCTTAGGCTAGGATACTCTCCCAATTAAAGAAAACATACAAACAGAAAAGTTATTTAGAAATGAAAGGTATTTCTTTTCTGACTGGGTCACTAATTTTCAAGTATAAGCTTTTAGTCATTTACCAAGTTTAATCTGAAACCTTAACTAGAGATTTCAGAACTCCCCATTTTCAAAATGTCCCATTTCATGTCAAGAAATAGGCTGAGCCGGCGTGGCTCAGTGGTTAAGGGTCAACCTATGAAGGTCGAGGTTCAATTTCCAATCAGAGCACATGCTCAGGTTTTGAACTCGATCCCCACAGTTTGGGGCATGCAGGAGGCAGCCAATCAATGATTCTCTGGCATCACTGATGTTTCTTTCTCCCTCTCCTTCTCTGAAATCAATAAAAAATAAAAAAATAGGACATCAACCAAATAATTAAATAGCCTTTAGATTACTTGTTATATCCCATTTGATATTAATCTAAACCTTACAGAAAAGAAAGAAGTGTTTCATTTTTTTCTTCAATTCATTCTGAAATTATCAGTATTCAGTGTGTGCAGTAACAGACAAAAACATTCCTGATGTAAAAAAGATGTTTTTTCAAAATGGGCTTACTTCATAGGTATTAACAGAGTAGAAAAACCTGAAAGTATGTACAAAGATTAGAAACAGTGCTTCAAAGTTCTAAGATCTGAAACAAAAATATAATTCACAAGAAAATTTTCAAAATAGGTTATTAGAAATATCACAAAAAATTAAAAAACAAACCTTTATCATCTTCCTTCAGACATACATCACAGGCTTCAATAATTTGAGCTAAATCTACATGAAGTCCACCTTCTGAGTTCTCTTCTGAAATTTCAGCTCCTTTAGATTTCAGATAAGCTCGAAGCTCAGCAGCCTGTGGAATCAAACAGTGTTGCTATATATCTATAAAACTGACTATGAATGACAAGATCTCAAGCCATTCTGTCCTATTTCTAAAAAAATGAAATCTAAATGCTGTATTTAACAATGACTTTACCTCATCCATGGTCACAACCCCCACAAGTTTTCCTCTACAACTCCCAGTGGGTACACAGACCCACTATGGCCCACATAGATCAACTTCAGAATTTCTCTCAGATCACCTATATATCCTGCTGGAATTATAGTATATGGCAAAAATCTTTCTAATATAACCCAAAGCCTTTTTGGGGTGTGGGGTGAGATCTGACTTGGTAAATTCAATTTGTTTTAAAGAAATAAAATGTTATTGCTCTGAGGTGTGCATAGCACTACTACTTTGAAAACTTACAAACGTTACCTTGGTAAGAGAGTAATTACTGTTAATTAAATGTTTGAGAACCTATCTGAGATGAGCATTTGGGGAGCCAAAGATAAAAAGATGATGCCTTTGGCCCTGGCTGGTGTTGTTCAGTTGTTTGGAGCTTTGTCATATACACCAAAAGGTTGCAGGTTCAATCCCCAGTCAGGGCACATATCTGGGTTGCAGGTTCGATCCCAGTTGGGGCCTGGGAGGGCAACCCTTTGATGCTTCTCTCTCTCCAATCAATAAGCATGCCCTTGGGTGAGGATTAACAAACAAAAAAAGATGATGCCTTCGAATTCTTCCTTGAATAAAATACTTATATCAAATTGGATCTACTATAAAATTCTTTTGAAATGCAAAATGCATTATCTGGATCAGAAAGCACCTTTGCACCCATAAAAGTATAACTGCAGGACTGCATCCAGTATTTAGACATTTTTCTATTCTAATATGTACATATAATATTTAATAACTAGTTCTTTTTAGAGTTCGGTATGTATGGCAGCCAAACATGAATGCAGATGGTATTTAAGATAATATGAGGAACTGAAAAAGAGAAAAGTAAGAATACCATTAGTAAATGCCTGGGTATCACATTTTCTAAACCTACAGATATGTTTTGGCTACCTAAGAAAAGTATATTAAATCTGTAGACCTGAAGATACTATCCTTTCAGATAAAAAGTAGTCACTTCACATATGCATTGGCAGTAAAATAAGACTTCATAAAACAACTGTCACCCTGTGAGAGAGCATAAAAAATACCCCTGGAAAGCACACTTCGGTATGAAGAAAACACAACTTCATCAAAACAAAGGCACTTGGTTCAGTTTCCACTTTGTAAACATAAAAGTGAATTTTTCTAATAACTATTCAACCAACAGTTTATTGTTTTGTTTTTAAACTATCATCCTCACTGGTTACAAGTAGTGTTTGGCGAGTGGTACAAACCAAGGAAAAGAAACAGGATTCTGAGCTCTATTTCCCAACTTTAATTAAACTGAGAATTTGATCAAAGTTAACCTCTTGAAAACAAAAGCACCTCCTTACCTGAAAGTAATGGCTAGAGTGGAATTAATATATTACAAGAACAGTCGCATAACCTCAGTAGAAATGACGTTTTAAGCCTAATACATACATATAAACCTCACCTGGGGATATTTTTTCCCACTGATTTTGAGAGAGAGTAAAAGGAAGGGAGGGAGGAGGAGAGAAAGCAACATGGATGTGAGACAGACACATCCACTGGCTGCCTCCTGCAGTGCTCTGACCAGGCCAGGACGAACAGGTACCCGCCCTAACCAGGAACTAACCCCTTCTAACCACTTAAAACACCTGCCAGGGCGAAAACTAAAATAGAATCAGTAACACCAACTCGCTGCATTTACAAACCCTTTTCTGTATTAAAAAAAAAAATTTTTTTTTTCAATAACCTACTAGTCAACTGTTGATAACATGATTCCATTACCAACAAGGTATGTTTTTAAGAAAAAGACGTCGTTCACATCTTTTAACTGTGCTCAACTCCTTCCCACAACTTACTTTTATTTAAACATTTTTTCCCATTTTCATTTCCACTTACTTTGCTCTTCAGGGCTGAGAGTCTGCATTTCTATAGTGTGTGTGTGTGTGTGTGTGTGTGTGCGCGCCACATCTACAATTCTACACGTATGTTAGAATAGTAATGACATCTTCTATGGAAATCAAAATGTCCATGTTAATGGAATAGCAGAAAAAATGGCAACACGACTTCACAGAATAGTTTCTGCAAAATTACCTTAGGAGATCATTTCATGTTTAGTTTCACTCCCACCAACTACAGCTTAACTTTTGTGATGGGGAAAAGTGCAAACCCCAAACAGAACATTTAAAAACGTTAGGACGGCTCACCAGATGTATGCCTCAAATATGAAGGTGGAGCTGACGTTTTATTTTTCGGGTTAAGAGGCCTCTCACCCTTGCACATTAAGAATATAAAATATGGTCTATGTATAGAATAGGTCGCCGGTGCCTTTGTGACCCCATAACACCGTTTTCATCGTCAACAAAATTATGTTTCCTTAGACAATGGCTTACAACATCGAAAAGTTTGCCACCTCCCACTCCGGATGTGACTGCATTTGGGGGACTGAAGCCGACACCTTTCCCAATGAGCCGGAAAGTACTGTGTCGGCAGAAGCGACTCCGGGCTGAGAAAGTACAGGCGCCGACCGGGAAGTCGGCGGGGAGCGT